TAAACTCACCATCATCTATACCAAGCCTTTCCAACCCCTCGATAGCTGGTATTTTATTCCTTCTCATCGACTTTGTTTCCAGTTTTAACCCACGCCTCAAACTCCTCTTTATTGCAAATTCGATTAGGAGCAAGTCGAACGACCTTCCTATCACGAAACACAATCAGCCACAGATTATCATCATCACTGCCTTGTTGCTTAAAAGATTCAACTTTCTCCATATCTCATCGATCCGATTAAACTGTCCAACTTTCTCTTCCACCAATTATCAACACAAATGCTACCATTAGAGATTAACATATATAAATTATCACAAAGTACTGGGTGCGGCAAGTCGCACCCAATGTTTCGTCAGTCGAGACTCAAGAAAGTATCAGATCACCGTTATCTTCTTGCGATGAAGAACAAGTTTTCACCCGATGACAAGTTGGTGGAGGTTACGGCATAGGAGAGTAGCGAGTTCATCCATGGCGGAAGAGAGAGAAAGCTTGAGGTTCTCGGTTTTTTTTTTGAAAAATGCCCAAAAATCGAATAGGGGGCTTTCTTATGTGATGTATAATTGTTGAAATTGATTGTCCCATATGATTGTATGTTGGATTGTGAGCATTTTGATAACATATGCATGTATTTTGGTTGAGAAATGAGCAAGTTATGTTATGCCATTGACCTTAGTACGAGAACTTCAATGGAGGTTTCACCATTGGTATACATAGTATCAAACAAATTATACATATCTTCAAACAAATTGTACATATCCTCCATTGGCTGGATGATATCCTCTATTGGCTGGATGATATCCTCTATTGACTATATAATATCATGGTTGGATGATATCCTTTATTAGCTATATGATATCATTAATGATTGTGACTATGATATCCTCTATTGGCTATATGATATCATGGTTGGATGATATTCTTTATTAGCACTAGTAGAAAATACTAAATGGCAAGCGGTTCAAACCCCCTAATGGCAAGCGGTTTTGAACCGCATGCTGTTGGGGGGCTTGCCATTAGCCTTTTAAAAGGCAAGCGGTTCAGAACCACTTGCCATTTGTAGAGAATGGCAAGCGGTTTTGGCGCCAAACCGCTTCTCATTATGCCTTAAAAAAAATTAAATTTTTTTTTTTTTTGGTTTTTTTCAGTTAAATCAATACACAAACAAAACATATGTATTAACAACATTATTTTCATTAATCAATCCAATTTTACAAATTTCTAATTTTAAACAAAAATAAATAAATTAACAAAAAAATAAATTAATAAACAAACACCTGTAACCACCACCACCACCACCACCACCCCACACCACCAGCCACCACCTCTAGCTTCTTTAACCCGTACCTTCCCACCAGAACCACCTTCACCCACCTAACCCACCCACCAACATACGCGTACCCAACCACCAGAACCTCTACCCACCTAACCCGAACCCATCCACCACCCCCACCTCCAGCTCCCCTAACCCACCCACCCTAACCCAGATCTATCACCTAAACGGCTAAACACACCCAAACAAAACCCACAACCCACCCGCCACAACTGCCTTTATCCCGTATCACCACCACCACCAAGCACCATATAACCCACCACGACCTTAAAAAAAAAACAACTAACCTACCACGACCTCAACCCAAACCAGACCCGCGGCCATGAAAACGTCGATTTTCGCTTGAAACTATGGTTTTAAAGGTCAAATTCGACCATGAAAACTCTAGATCTAGAGTTTTCATGGTTGAATTTGACCCAAAAAACTTGAAAACCACACGCCTGAACCACCGCCTCCTAGAATTGGGGTTTTTGGTTCGAATTTGCTCGAAATTTTACTTGATTTTACTCGATTTTACTTGAGATCCGAGAGAGGAGAGGAGGGAGACAGAGAGTGAGAAATAGATCGCAGAAAAAGAGTGAGAAACTGATAGAGAAATGAAGAGAGTGAGAAAGAGATCGAGGAGAGTGAGAAAGAGGAGATGAGAATGGAGAATCGTGAAGGAGGGAGGAGATGAGAGGAGAGAGAAAAGAGAATATGAGGATGAGAGGAGGAGGCGTGAAAGAATGAAGGAGAGGATGATTGAGGCTCGTATTTAGTTTTAGGGTTTTTAGGAATGGCAAGCGGTTTTGGGTTGAACCGCTTGCCATTATACATAATGGCAAGCGGTTCAATCCAAAACCGCTTGCCATTATAAAGAATGGCAAGCGGTTCAACCCAAAACCGCTTGCCATTACATATCTGAGGTCTTTTTTTTTTTTGGGTGGGTTTTTCGAAGCGAATTTTAAAAACCGCTTGCCATTTGGGGCTTCCCATTTAGTTTTTTCTGCTAGTGTAGCTATATGATATATCATTTATGATTGTGTTTATAATATCCTTTATTGGCTGGATGATATCCTCTTTTAGCTATACGATATCAAATAACCAATAAAGGATATCATCTAGCCAATATAGGATATCATCTAGCTTGTAGAAATATCATCGAGTCAATAAAGGATGCCATATAAATAAATTAAAGGATATCATATAACCAATAGATGATATCATCCAGCTAGTAGAAATATCATCCAGCCAATAAAGGATATCATATAGACAATAAAGGATATCATCCAGTGAGTAGAGAATATCATCTAGCTAATAGAGGATAGCATTTAGCCAGTAGAAATATCATCAAGCCAATAAAGGATATCATCTAATTAGTAGAGGATATCATCCAGCCAATAGAGGATATCATCTCGCCAATTGAGGATATTAAAAATGTGCATTTTGTCAGTCCGGACTGACACAAAACCTTCTCATAAATTATAAAGAATTTTCCTACACAAAAGGCAAAATGGGTTAATAGAGAGACCATCCTTTGTTGGTGTACGTCATTTTCTCACTAATCTTCATTCGACCGTTCATATGGTAATAAACTAAGGTCTCGTAATAATCGAAATTAAGGCTAACTTCGAGTTTCTTGAAGGATGAACACATGGTACGATTATTATTCAAATCATGTCTAAAAGGAATTAAAATACAAAGATAATTGGAACCTATCTGTTAAAATTTCGAGACAATGTGAAATTGGCCTGGGCAACCCGAACAGGAGGAGGAGAGTTAGGTCCACAAACAAGGCTTTGGAGCTTCCATACTAAAACCAATTGGCAATAGTAGGAGGTACTCCTCTATCTTATAAAGTGAAAGAGAAAATTGTGAAAAAGGACCTTTTAAATGGTCGGCTTTTTGAGAAAGGATCTTTTAAGTGGAAACTTGTGAAAAAGGACCTTTAAAGTTGTATTTTGTTTGTACCGTGTATTTGGGTAAGTTTGCGAGGTGGTCAACGTCGAAGCTCCGGCGTTAACTATCACATGTTAGTCACGTGTCTTATTTTTCAAAAAAAAAATTTAAAAATTCCCCAAATTTTCTCCCCTTTCCCGACTTCCGTGAGAATACTATATGAAGGAGTTAGGTCGAGAAATGAGGGAAATTGATTATTTTTTTATTTTAAAAAGAGACTCGTGACTAATACGTGATAGTTAACCCGAAGCTCTGGCATTGAACACCATGCAAGTTCACCCTAGTACCCCATACAAACAAAATATCACTTAAAAGGTCCTTTTTCAAAAAGTCGACTACTTAAAAGGTCATTTTTCACAATTTTCTCAAAGTGAAACTATCTCTCCTCTTTCTCCCCCCTCACTTATGAGTGTCCTTAGAACTTTAGAGCTAAATGGATAAGGCCAGATCAATAATCCTCTTAGGGGCTGGACATCCTGTCGAGGTAAATCCTTATCCAATAGCGATTAAATACCCAGTTTAGAAGAGACCCACAACCCGGGCTCTGATATCATGTTAAAATTTCGAGACAATGTGAAATAGGCCTGGGCAACCCGAACAGGAGGAGGAGAGTTAGGTCCACAAACAAGGATTTGGATCTTCCATACTAAAACTAATTGGCAATAATATGAGGTATTTCTCTATCTTATAAAGTGAAATCATCTCTCCTCTTTCTCCAATGTGGGACACTTATAAGTGGGCTACAATGGCCTGGGTTTCAACACTATCTACCATTGTTTGTTTTTCTTCCATACTTATCGAACTAAAATTCGTTCAACCCTTGAATTTTGTGGACGAGAGAGGCTTTTTTTTTAGTTTTCTAATATTGAAAATAAAGATCGATTTTGTCTTTGCTTTGAAAAGAACAACAATTTAAGCTCACATATAAACGATTTTTTGTCTGCCATATAAAAGAACATACATAGCTTAGTTTATCTGCCATATAAACGATTTTTATTTAATCTGGTAGCATTTCTGTAAATATATTGAAAAACATGGTCATATATTAAGTACTTTTGGTGAGCTATTCAATTACTGTTTACAACTTGCATTTACTGTTTGGTGAGGAAATTACACATGTACCCCTCAATTAGTACATGATACGGAGTAAGACACATGTACTAATTGAAAAGAGGATTATACCCCCAAATTAACAAAAATTTGGGGAGTTAACTTGGCACATCTCTTATTCTTGTTCTCCATACGACACATTACGGAAACTATCGAGTTAATGAGATTAATTTACATACTCTAAATTTAAAAGGGTTTATCCACTTTAATTATACTTCGTATGTTTTTTGATGCAATTATCTACTTTATATTCGTAGTAGTAGATTCTTAAGAGTGAAAACTAAATATGGAGTATATATATACTAATAAATCTACAATTTGATTTTAGTTAACTTTTTTTTTTTTTTTTTAATTTTTTTAAAGCAACTTTTCCTTATAAAGTTTTTATTCATTTTTATAAACATGTAGTATATATTACATGATAATAATATTTTTTCCTAAAAAAAAAGGATATAGATAATTCTTTGGTTGTCTCCAAGTAATCCTGAGTGTGTCTAGATCGACTTTATGTCACAGTCGTCACACGGTAAGGAAAATTATGCACATTAAAGGTTTAATTTATGCATATGATTTTATCTCTTTATTTGAACTTATTACGGAGTACTGTATATTTTATTACAACTTGTAATTGTAGTCGTAAATTAATGTAACACTTATCTAAATTTATTCTTCCAGACCTTATTTTATACTAGTAGCCTGTAGGCATAGTAGCTAGTGTGAATTTTTTAAACTTTAAACTTTTTTCCCTCTTTTATAAAAATAAAAAATAAGGTGAACAAAACGGACCTAAGTCTATTCGGACACGATAAAATAGTCATGTCAGCCCATCCAAAGCCCTATGTTTTTAACCTCCTCATCCACTTTAGAACAAAACCCTAGATATATAAACCTTCATTTTCCCTTTCCCAAATCCCAAATATTACTGTTCGAGTGATTCCTCTATCCAAAATTCAAAAACCCCAACTTCCCAGAAATATTCACCCTGAAAAATGTCGGATCTTTTTGATTCGGGTATATTCCCAGATCAAATAATCTCTGAAATTCTGACCCGTTTACCCGCCAAATCCATCTGCCGTTTCAAATCCGTTTCGAAAGGCTGGTATTCGATGATCTGCAACCCACATTTCATGTCCTCCTACATTTCCAAGTCTTCTCTTTCATGGGCAATCTTCGACCGATTCATCCCATTTAACCCCAAGTTAGCTGCTTCTGAATTCACCCTTCAATGGCAGAAACCCCCAAATGTGAGTATTTTCTCTGTTAATCCTCATAAAATAGTTGATAAATCAACTGAGATTGTTATCGAGGGTGATGAATTTCCTGCAACTTTGTTAGCTTCTAGTAATGGGTTTATCCTATTTTCTATCAAGATTGAGAGGGACCCATTTAAGGAGAAAACTGCAACTTATTTCTCTTGGATTAGTGAAGAAGACAGTTTGTTTGTGGTTAGTCCGATTACTCGTGAATGGGTTTCGATTCCGAAACCGCCTCATTTCATAAACAATCAGTCTTCTGTTGGGTTTATTACACAGGTTAATTTATCTGGGGTTTTAGAGAGGTTTATAATTGCTGAGTATCAGCCGATTATTGGGTCTAAGACTGCTAGTATAATGTGTTTTTCGTCTGAAACTTGTAAATGGGAACAAATTTCTGCTAATTATATGCTTGTTATGCATATGTGGAGTGGTGATGGAACAGTTGAATTTGATGGGCATTTAGTTTGGGTTGATCCGAGACTTGGGATCATAGTTTGGGATGAACCATTCAGTGGACAGAACGAGGTGCATTGTCGATTTATCGCCTTTCCTAGAGAGTCTAGAGGTTCAGAGGGTGATGACCGGTTAGTCGATGTTGGTGGTGGGCATATTCAATTTATAGAGTTATCAAAGAAGAAAAAGAAAGAGCTTAGTTTGTGGAGGTTACAGGATTATGAAGGTGGAGAATGGAGTTTGGTGCATAAGCTCTCTTTAAAGGATGTTTGGTCAGATGAGAGTTATTTGGCTTATGGACTTGAAAAAGTAGTGCCAAACCCCTATCTCGGCTATCTGATGCACCCTTTTGAGGCTGATATTGCTTACTTCATGGTGGGAGATCGTCTTTTTTCCTTGAATTTTGGTACCAAGAAGGTGGAGAGTTGTAGTAGTGGTTACTCTGGCTTGAGTAAATACATCTATTTCATCATAGTTAAGCTGCCGAGTTTTCCATTATCGTTTTCTCCGAGCTTGAGTAAGTGATTTAACCGTTAACTACATGTATTGTGATTACAATATTATCATAATTATAAGATGCTGTAATGTTCATAGGCATGCCATTTGATTCATTTTGATTTGTCTATGTTATATCTGATATGGATTATCTGTGATATTGTTATGTTGTTTGGAAATAATTAGGGGTATAAGTATAAGATAATTACTTATAGCTTGATTCAATTACTTGAGAATTATACAATCTTTGCCATTGAGTTGGCCAATATCATTTTGTCTTAGCCTTAGTACACTGCAGAGCCATTCTACAATTGTATGATTGGGATGTGAATCATGTGATCAAGTTTATGCTTAATTAAATGGTTAATGTGTTACACATGTAAATTTTTGGTTCTGGGAAAACGTTGTCATACTTTCTAATATAGATAAAGGTTTTAATTGGCTTTCATTATATCCTTGCTAAGATTTAGTAGAGTGTGAAAGTCCAACTATCGTATAGGATCTTGGTGTTACATGGTTAACTATGGCCTATGGGAGAGGGACGATCTGAGTATATTAATGTGACATGTGTGGCGCTAGAGTTTAAGGTTCATGTGCTGGGTGGTTCTACTAGGAATAACTAGGCTCTTAGAAAATTTTACTCAAAATGCTATGCAGAACTAAAAGCCAGTTCATTGAGCCATTTTAATAGTAGCTGCATTTACTTAACAACAGAATTTTCTAAAACTGAGTGCTGCTGTTTAATAGCTTCATTTTTTGAAGGTGTAGTTTATGGTTATCTAAGACAGTAGCTGGCACTTTTTTCTTCCTAATTTCCTAGCTGTAACTAGAGTTGGTTATGATGTTTCCTGAAGCAGCAGTTCAAACAACAGAGTTGTGGTAACTTATATATATGTAAGGGTTAGAGTTTATTCTCAGATTTGAAACACTGCATTTCAGGAAGTTTGGATGATTGCTTCAAGAGATAATTTTATACTGTTTGAAGTCATGATTCTAAAATCTTTAATCTCTCCTTTTGAAGTTTTTTAGTTCTGTTATTCTCACCTGTGCGAGTTGAACAATACAAGTATACTTTTGAAGCAGTTTCTTGTTGGTGTGGTAACTTTCATTGGAACATTAAGAATTTTTTTGTTTATGGTCAAATAAACGTGATTAGACTCTCCTCATCATGTATATATTGCAGCTCTTTTTTGCTATTCATATGGCTATTGTAATGAACTAATGACTGCTTGGGTTTATAATTAGTATCCATCAAGGCAAGGTTTACACTAATATCTCTGCTCCCACCCTTCCAAATCCAAATATAACCCCTTTTGATTGTGTTAGTTTATTTTGTTTTGCTTTGATCAATAGATTTTTGTAGCATTGGTTTTTAGATAATGATGTCTCTGACTAGAACTTGATTTAAATTACATGTTTCGCCCTCATGTGTATCTCTTTCACTCATGTTTTATGGTGTAGTACAAGATGCTATGTAATAAGAGGGGTAAAATGCTCAAGTTTGTACAAATTGAAACTGAGGATTAGCCTCTCTGAATCTCTTACACCACTCTCATCTTACGAAGAACTGTGTAAACTTGAGTTTTATCCAACTCACATCCGTTGCACCATGCATGTGTTGAATCATTTCAATATACGAGGCTCTTTTGTTGCTTTTTTCTTGCTCTTGGTTACCCCTCCATTTTTACAGTGAAACCTTTGTGTACCACACTTTCTCTGCAGAGGCTACTTTTCTGAAAGAGCAGGGCAATAAATATTTTAAGGCCAAGAACTTCAATGAAGCGATAAATTATTATACAAGAAGCATTGCTCTGGCAGATAACGTCCTTGCCTATGCAAATAGGGGTATGGCTAATATCAAGGTTCATAGATACCATGAGGCAGAAGCTGATTGTACTGAGGCCTTGAAGCTAGATGGCGAGTACTTCAAAGCATATGGACGGCGAGCAGTAGCCAGAAAAGAACTTGGTGATCTTACAGGTTATGTCGAAGATTTGGAATTTGCCTTGAAGTTGAAGCCTAATGACCAAGAAATGAAGAAGCTGTATGCTGAAGTGAAGACGTTGATTGACAAGGTGACAACTATAGTTCAAAACATTTATCGTCTTTTAATGCTTTTAAATCAGAGTTGTTATTGCTTTAAACCATAAATCATTTATGAAATTTATAACTGTTGATGTGAAGAGTTAATTTGGTAGATTTTCTCTCGATTCGGATAATATTTACAGGTCAAAACAACCGCAACTGCACCTGTGCCAACAGATCCACCTGCTCAGAATGATTCATCTACCGCGCAGGTATTACCTACAAAAGTAACTAGCTCTGGTTGATTTAAAAGTTGTTCCATAAGCAATAGTATACAGAAAAATTACTGATTGAGAAAGTCAATAATTCCTTAAAAATATAGAGATGTTCTTATTAAATAATATTAATAAGAGTAAGTTATGGTGCTTGACATATACACAAGACTTAGTCATGAATATAAGATGGATTAAAAGAAGAAAATTGGTTGACTTTGTTCATTGAGCAAAAGCTATATTGTTGAATCACTATCACTAATTTACTCTTTGTTACCACCAATTATGTTTGATTATAATCCTTTGTTTAACAATAATGTTATAAGGGTGTGAAAAGTTTATCGAGACATATCCTAATTTGCTATGTTTCTATTCTTGTATAACACCAGGAAAATGGCTCGGAAAGTGTATTTGTTCATGAAGGTTCGACAGAGGATGTGTAAGGATGGCACTGTATTGGCACAGATGTAATTTGTAATCGAAGTTGTTGAACGTGTTGGGGCCTTTGTTGTCTCCTGTAAGACATTCCATGAAACTAAACCTGAAGAAGATAAACAAGTACGTATTTCTAGATATTAAATGTTGTGTAAAGAGTAAACTGTGAAGGTTGACAATGTTTTGAGGGTGCGGTGAAACAACTTGACAGAAAATATCCTGTGCTAAATCTGTACATGAATGCCTTTTACTTTACTATATTTCATACAGGAACTATGAAGGTGTTTTGTTTAACTAAATTATGCTTTTGTCCAAAAAAAAAAAAAAAAAACAAAGTTATGCTATCTTACTTGTATAGTGCCTGTGTCATGTACGGTTTACAAATCAAAGTAATAAAATTTTAATTTTGAAAAAAAATAAATAAAAATTATGCTAACAATTGTATATCAAAATAACAATTTGTATAAATAAGAGTAACATATTCAAACATTATTTCACCGTAACCACATTAGCGGTCTACTGAGTTTAAAATTTATTTATATATTTATTTCATAAATCTAGTTGCCTAAGGTATAAATTCTAATACTACCTCCGTTAATTATTATGTGCAACAAAGGAATTTTTTATGTCTCACAATTAATACCCCTTTGTTGCACATAATAATTAACGGAGGTAGTAAATTAAATAATGTATAGTGTGCGGCATTAACAAAACTATTAATCGAGTTTATTCTATTTCTAATATGATGAGGGGTGATACATAGCCTCATGTAACCAATAAATTAAGGTCCTATTCACTAGACTTCTAAAACCCTAAATCCCCATTTTTTTTTTTTGAAAGCAAAAAATCCCCATTTTAATGAAAAAAAAAGGATACATATGGTTGTAGTATTATGTATAGTCTCTTTATAAAAGAGAATGTTAAAAAAAAAATTGCTCAGAATAGAATATATGAAAAGGGAACAAAAAAATATGCACTACATATTATAATCAAAATTTAAAGTCATTATAAAATCATTGATTTTAGACAAATTACTCTAGCTTTACAATTCAAGTAGTGAATCGCTAAATACCGCCAACGTTTTTTATCAACACCGCCAATAAAAGTGATTAAAGGACAAAATTACCCTTACCCTTACTCATCCTCACATATTTTCTCTCTCCTATGGGACAAACCCAACCTTCAACCACCACATAAGCCATCACCACCTATGCCACTAGCCACGCAATTACAAATGGAGTACTTTTTTTGACAAACAAACAAATACTAATAATAAAATCATAATAACAACTAATCGAAGATCCTGTACTACACTGCTACTTTAACTCAAATGAATAATTTTAATTATAACTTAAAAATCAAGCAGCATTTTTGTGATTTACTGTCGACCGGTGCCCAAAACCTGTCGACCGTGGCCAACAATCGGCGCCAAAAACCGATTGGCCTGGGTAACCACCGATTTTGAGCGCCGGTTATCAGTAGAGTCAACCGGTTTTGAGCGCCGATAGTGAGCGCCGGAGGTTATAAAAAAGAAGATCTGGTTTTGACGACCACTGCAATACCAGCTCGTCATCTTCGACCAATCGACAGTCGTCATTGCTGCCCTTCCACCTCCAATGTGTAGCTGTTGTTCACCTCCGACGTACAACCACTGTTGTGGTGGTATGGTGGTTGGGAAATGGTGACGAGAGAGAAAGCACAGTGAGAGAAGTGGTGGTTGTGGCCTTGTGGGTGATGAGATAGAAAAAAAATAAAGAGGAAGAAAATTGGGAGGTGTAGTAAGGGTATTGGTGTCCATTCATCTAAAATGTTGGCGGTGTTGATAAAAATTGTTGGCGGTGTTTAACACCTCCCTTTAAATACTCAATTGTTGTCCACTTTTCATGTGAGGGGCTAAAAATGCCTACAATAGTGGGTTTTGAAATCTAGTCTTGAGCCCGTCAAAAAAAAAAAAAAAAAAAAAAAACAAAACCTAATCTTGAGATTATCATAAATATAACATAACCACTAATCCAACTAGTGTTATATATATATATATATATATATATATATATATATATACACTAGTTTTGTGCCCGTGCGATGTCCGGGTTGTTTATTGAATAAGATAAATTTTTAATCTATATGTCAAATTTTAAAACATATCATTGATACAAAATTAGATGATTTAAATTATATAGTAGGCATGTAATGACTAATAATAATAACATTGGTGAAAAACATTTCTTGACCCGTAACCTGAAATAATGACCCTGTCCGAAATGACTCGTGACCCGACCCGATTGACAGGTCTACACAGTAATAAAATTATATTAGATTGTAAAGTATATTGTTTTAATTGATTAGAATATATTATAAATAATGTATGTGGTGCATTTTGAGTTAATTCCTTCGCTCCAAAAAAAAATACTATGATACAAAAAATAAATTTATATGATAATTTATGAGTGTTGTAATTTTTTTTTAATAAAATTATAATTTAATTTGTACATATGAAATATTGATATTTTATCGAATATAAAACTCTAAATTAACAATTTTATCCTAAAATTCTATCCAAATTTGATTGAAAATAGAATTCTTAAATTAACTTTATTATCCCACAAATTGAATTCTATATAACTCTATCCTACGTGGTGCGACACTTGGCGAAAAGTTGGAACGCCAAGTGTCGCTATCTCGTCCCCTGGCTAAAAGTTTAGCTTTATATATTTGAACTAGTTTTGTACCCGGCGATGCCCAGGTTGTTTATTGAATTTTAAGATAAAGTTATAGTTCGAGTTAACTCATAACCAGACCTAACAGGTCTATATAGTAATAAAATTTTATTAGATTGTGAAGTATATATGTTATTTTAATTTATTAGTACATATTATAAATGAATGATTTACGCTTTGAACTACTTCATTTGTTCCAAAAAATATTATGAAACAAAAAAAAAAATTATATGATAATTTTTTAGAATTATAATCTAATAATTTTTTTGAATAAAATTATATTCAATTTGTAGGTCTGAAATATTGGTATTTTATCGAAAATAAAACTCTAAACCAACAATTTTATCCAAAAATTCTATCTTATGAAGTCTATTTAAATCTATCCAACGTGGCACGACACTTGGCGAAAAGTTAGAACGCCAAGTGTCGCTGCCTCGTGACTTGACTAAAAGTTTAGCTTTATATATTAGTTATATGATTATATATAACTCTATCCTACGTGGCGCGACACTTGGCGTACTAACTTTTCGCCAAGTGTCGCTATCTTGTCCCCTGGCTAAAAGTTTAGCTATATATATATATATAATACTTTTTTTTAGGGCCCTTGTTTTTTGGGGACCTTGGCCTGCCCCGCCACTATGTTTAATATTCCTTTTTAACTAAATTGTACTTTTAATGATTGAATTCATATCAATTTTCATCAATTTTACACATTTTATAATAACCGTGTATAATTCCAAACGTCAAGAACAAAAGGGAACGAAGGGAGTATTTAAATCAGAATTTTGTAACCATAGAGTATATTTTTTGGCAAACCATGGAGTATATTTTTTTTTTTGGCAAACCATAGATTATATTAGACTGCTTTTTATCTACTTAATGGAATATTATTGAATGAACTGGGCCTAAGGTCATTATAAAACCCCTTCCTTTGTTTGCTTCTAGGTTTCGACACCAATTGTCAGCCATGACTACCCTTGGTCGTGGTTGGAGCTTCCAAAAGCTCCGACCAGAGATGAAGAATGATCCAGAAAGTTATGAAGTTGAATTACAATTATTATACCGAAATTTCAAGGACAGCGTTCAACCTTTTGAGCAACAATCCGATTTCGGCTTCACCGCCATCTCCAACGATTCCACCGCCGACAAAGAACTCGCCGATAAAGCCTTTTTCCTTGCTCAATTGTGTCCTGTTTATCCTCGATATCTCTATGATTTCCCCGACCGCCTCGTTTATCTTCTTCATCGCGTTGTTACTCCTGTTATCCTGTCGCCTTCTTTGAGATCACTTCGTTTCAAACTCACTCAATCACTAATTCTTCTCACTAATAAAAAACGTACATTAATTCACTTTGGAATTTATTGAGATTCGAAATTTGGTAATTTTTGATGCAGAAATTTGAGTTCGATGTAATTAATGGTTTTGCAGGTTGTGTCGATTGATAAGGAGTTCGAAATCTGTAACTTGAAGACAAAGACGACGTTGTTAGCATTGTTTATGAAACTTCAGACGCTTAATGATAGGAATTTGAAGAAATTGGCGTATTCTCATGTCATTCTTTCGATAAAGAAGCATAAGAATAATCATGCTAGGAATAAGACTTTGCAGAACATTATTCTCCATATGCTACTGGTCTGTAACTATTCTCTATTTAGTTGGTATATATTCGTTCGTGCTTGTAAAGAATTTCATCGGCTGTCGTGTCAAAAACTGACTTGACCGACCTTGACCTGAAAATGATCAATTTCTGTCAAAAATTGACATGACTGAACTCGACCTGAAAATAATCAATTTCTGATATCTATTTGTATGGACACAGTAATGTGTAAATAGCATAACTCAAATTTAAAATAGACTCGACTGGAATTAACACCTCTAATAGTACATAGAAAAGTGTGATTATTAACTAACTTATGGTGTTGACAGAGTGGGGAGGAGGCATTAGCAAGGGGGTCTCTTGTCGTGCTATGCAATCTACACCGGATGAATGTATGGTCTGATGAATTAATTTCAAACGCAATTTGCCGTGCTTGTCATCATCCTACATTAAGGTATCTACAACACCTACCTCGATCACCTTAAAGTATAGATGAATCATAAATGGACTAACTGATGACTGAATTTTGTTTTTGATGATTCTGGATTCAGGCAAGCTGCTCTTTCCTTTCTTCTTAGTTATCAGATTATTGAAGATGATGATGACGACACTGATGCTTCAACCAATGAAGATGAGGGCTGTGCTCGACAAACACAAGTTGTTCTCAATAGCGAGCAAGTGTACAAGGTCTATTCAATTTCTACATTTGGCTATACTCGAATTGTTAATATTAGACTAAGTTGGTATATGCAGATGAAATAATCTAAAAGCTTAAATTTTCTGATTGTTTGATTTCTAGTTTGGATATGATTAGTAACGTAATACATTGTTATAACTTTAGGCTCACCATAAGGGCACAACATCAAGCAAAAAGAAAAAAAAGGCTAAGTTGAAACGTGAGATTCGTAGCATGAAAAGGCAGCAGCGCTTGAGTTCTGAGAAAACTGGTTCAAATCACTATTCGCCACTTTCAGATTTGCACGATGCAGATGTACCTATCCTGCTGCTTTCTTTATGATTTGGTATATATGTCATTTATGCTATATGGCTGTTTAGTTATTAATGAATTTTTTGCGACTTTTTTTTTCAAAGGCATTTGTGGATGAGCTGTATTCTTACCTTCATAGAGATAATAGAAGAGTTCAACTTTCTGAGGTGAGTGATTTGCCTTTCATCTGATGAGAATCATTAATTGATTCAACTCGATCAACAAAAATCCCTCCACTCTGCTTTATTGTTAGGAGCTTGGCTTTTATGTATAAAACTGATTATTTAAGCTCAACAGAGCTAATTCAGGGGTTACTCATGGGAAATTATGTGTTTTATAAGTACGAGATAACCTTGATCGATTAACAAGCTATTGTGGTATGCAGGTTAACATGATGACAATTATTGTGATTGCTCGGACAATTGGGCTTCACCGATTGATCAAGCCAAAGTTTTATTGTTTCCTTGGAAAGTATATGATGGTTTGTGTTCCATCTCGTTGTTGCCTTTCATAATTTTTTGGATAATAGTAATCTAAATTGCAGCTTCTCTCTGTCATGCAGCCCCATGTGAAGGAGATTACTAAACTACTTGCTGCTGCTGTTGATGTCTTCCATGCTGATGTCAGTTTGCATCGTCTTTTTAGTTATTTTCTTTACTGGAGCAACTTTTTACAGTATATTTACTTCCCTTGGTCATTTACAATATTTCTATTGATTGGGGTTTGTTGTTTTTTTTGGCTGTATTAGGTTCCAGATGATGATGTCAAGCCCCTATTTCTTCAGATCGTGAATAACTTTGTACACAACAGTTCGTCGCAACCAGAGGTATTGATTGTATGATAAATATTACTGTAAATCTAGAAAGACCATTGACTCCAAGCGATGGAGAAATGTTGTGTACATTAGTTTTATGTTTCTATGTTCTGAGAACTGATTTGTGCCGTCAATTTATTACTCTTGGAATGTTAATATTTGCCTCTCTAATGTCGTTCTATCTTCAGTTTCTTGTTTAGTTGTTTAATTTGGTGAAATGACTAAAGTTTTGCTTACTGAAACTTGACAGGCATTTGCTGTAGGATTGAATGTGGTCAGAGAAATATGTTTACGCATGCCTCGGGTACTCAATCTCTCTTCTGATTTCAAGCCTTTGTTGAGATGTAAAATTGCAACTCGATCTGTATACGTGTGTGTTTGGTTGGTTAATGGGAGGAGTGGAATTGATTCTTGCATCCTCTATTGATCTTTGTATCATATGTTTGTTCAGTATGTAGCTAGTTTCCTAAATTGTTGTTTCACAGTCGCATAATAAGATGAATTTTCTCTCAGTTGCTTTTATAAGTCCATCTTCTAACAACATTTTCTTAATTTGTGTGATTTAGTTGATGAATGATGATTTGCTACAAGAACTTGTGCTATATGAAAAAGAAAAAGTAAAGGCAATTTCACTTGCTTCCCACTCCCTTCACAAATTGTTCAAAGAGGTAACCACTGCCTTGTATCCTCTATCCATGAGCATATTTTTTCGCCCCTGACATCAGTTTGTATATCAATGATGTCTTACCTAGGTTAATCCCTCACAACTTCCCAAAAAATACCGTGGACGGTTTGCTACAAATGCTAAACCTAAACAGTTTGGAGAGGCGAGTGTTGCAACTGATGTCCCTGGAGCTGATTTGTTGCGGCTAGGTAAAAAATATGATGATCAAGATTATGACAGTATCGAAGTTGAGAATGATGATGATGCAGAGGATGATGATGATGGCGGTGAGGATGCAGAGGGTGATGATAGTGATGAGGATGCAGAGGATGATGCTGGTGATGAGGATGCAGAGGATGATGATGATGTAACGTCTTTTAAGTGCTTGGGGGTTAGTGCAGTGAATGAATGTTGTGCTGAAGTTGAGTCCAAGGTAGAGGGTGATGACAGGATTACTGCTGGTGAGGAGGTTCAGGAAGATGATGTGGAAATGGAAGGCGAATCTAGTAGTTTAATTGAATCTGATGTTAGTCATGTACAGGATTCTGGAGACAGGAAGAGAAAATATGCTGATTTTGACCAGCAACTAGATGCTGCTGAGTCTGATTTCAGAGCTCTGAAGAAATTGACAGTACGTAAGTCGGAGCACTTGTCCGAAGCAGATGATCACTTCTATTCTAACAAAGAATTCCAAAAAATTAAAAAATTGCTGGTAAGGTTCATGTTCTGTACATTCTCCACCAAATATCAAGTTTTAATCATTAAATTTATAGTTGAAAATCGTAAAAAGTTAAGAAATCATCAAAATATAAACACTAATAATACTGATTTATGCGTGTTTTTGTCATGAATTTCTAATTTTATACAATTTTCAAGAGTATATTTGATGTTTATATATAGCTCTTAGGGCTACATATAACACTACCCTTAATTAATTCATCTTAATAAGTACTTTGAATATATTAAACATTTTTATAGAACTTGATAATTTTCTTATTTTTTTTTATTTGCTGCTTCCTCACTAGCTCTAAATAAACTTTACTCCCTCCGTCCCTAAATTATATGCTCTTGGGAGTAATTTGACTATCAAAAGGAATTTGAAACTCTTTGGAAGCCCTAACTCATTTTATTATGCTAAATTGCTAAGGGGTTGCAAGAGCAAAATCCATAAAAAAATAAAAACCAATTATTGTACACTATTTCCACCAAGCTTAGCTGGATTTAATTGCATTACGAGTACACATAATTAAGTACATATGCACTATTACACATGTATGTACAATAATAAAAACCAATTATAGTACACTATTTCCACCAAGCTTAGCTGGATTTAATTGCTTTATGACTTACGAGTACACATAATTAAGTACATATGCACTATTACACATGTATGTACAATAATAAAATATCTTAATAAAATAAAGCAGCATGTATGTAGTATGTACACTCGATTTCGGGTTAAATAGGGGTTAAATAAAGCAGGGGCGTGAATATTTCAAATATATATCGTGAAAATTTGTTATTTACAGGTTAAATAGGTGTACATTTACAGAAATAGAAAATCAATATTGGGATTTCCCACAATATCAAGACTCAAGCTTTATTTATGATAGAATGGATATTTGGTCGTTGGGCAAACACCCTAGAGTCAAAGTAGCTAACTAACCACTAACCTAAGAATAATGGTAAGTAAGGGTCATTCTTCCATAGGGACTAAAGGGAATCACCGACAAGTGTTAATTATAATAAGTTAGACCGAATCAAGGATTGGAATTTTATGGACTAACTAGTTTAGACTAAAGAAATGACAAAGGAAAGAAGTGCTGGGGATAAATGGGATTCAACACATATCAAACCAATGAATCGATAAAATGAATGAAACATGGATTGTACTTGGATGATAGAATGGGATCGAAACTCAATGTTGCCTTCTTTTAAAGCCATAACACTAACTCGAGTTTGTCTTTCGATCGCTAGCCCCAAGATAGCATGAAGCACAAATAATTGGGATTTATCACCTAAATTATCACACTAATCCATAGTCATGAAAGAGGCATAATAATCCAATTGCACAAGAAAGAACTTACTATTAAACCCTATATTTCAATGTGAATGAGGGAATGAACACATGAGCACAAAGTGGCCACCAAAATATACATGCAACAATCAATTCAAGCACAAACAACTATCAACCCAAAGTAGAACAACATGTATAAATCTAAATTAATCAACCCCTAGCTAAGTAATTACTCACAAATCATGGATACGAGTAACATTCTAACATTGAACATGCAAGAACATTAACAAGGATTTAGAGAAAATGAAGATCCACAAAACCATATAAAAGCAGAAAATTAAGAAAAGAGGAAGAAATTACTACTTGAAGCTTTAAATTAAGTTGAAGATAAATGTTGAAATTAAGAGAATAAAGCTTGAAATTATCTTCTACAATGCTTGAGTTTGAGAGATTTTGAGCTAAATAACTAATTAATTAAAAATCTACATTGTGACCTAAGAGAAAGGGCCTTAGAAGACTAAGAGAGAAGAAGATCGCCCCAACAAATGAAGTCAAGGGGGTATTATATGGCCCCCAAGTAAAATAACGGAGAAAACGAGGAAACGACCAGTCTACAGGTCGACACAGACGTGCCAAAGGATGCACGGGTGTGCAGACTTGATAAAATAAGTACAGTAGCTACTGCATGACCTTGCATGGACGTGCATTACTTGTCACAGATGTGCAGGTCTTTGCACGGGCGTGCCACTTTTTGGCACGGACATGCATCCTTTTATGGCGAAATAGCTTTGTTTCGGAAGGTCATAACTTCTTCATTACTTATCGAAATAAACATGTGATCAATCATTGGAAAGCTCTTGAGATGCACTTTAATATCCAATTTGAATCACTTCAAAATATTGAGTACGTAGAAAAAAATTTATGGTCATTTGAAGTTGACCTTAGTGAAAAATCCCTTCCAAAACCCTTCCAAATCCTCTTATTTAACTATTAGACATTTTTCCCTGTTTCTTTCATTCTTTATTGTATCATTATTCCATTTCTCCCTTCTTTCTTCTTCTTGCCTCCAATTTCTTTGCTTCTTAATCCAAAAGCTTCAAAGTGTCATCTTTATGCTTAAATATGCACCAAAAACTAACAACCTCGTGAAGCATAAGATATACAAAAAATGCATAAAAATAGAGTAATTAGAGAACCAAGACATTGATTTCTCATAATTCTAAGGCTCAAAACCACTCTAAAATCTTACAAAATTACAAGCTATCAATTTGCTGCTTTTATCTTAGCTTTTTTAAGGAAACTTTTATCTTAACTTAACTTAAAGACAGCAACTTTATTAATTTTTTGCTCAAATTTACACATGAGTAAGTACTAAATAGACTTAGGAAAATTGGAAGTAAAGAGAAATATTCATAAAAGACACAATCATTTAAATTCAACATTTTAAATTAATGTTATTAGCATTATAATAGTTTAAAAGATGACAGATGTTGCATAATTGTTCATTTGATCCCCTAATGACCTATATTAAGGTTTTTGATAAGAGAAAACATAAACAAACTATCAAATGCCAAGGATCAAACATATATATATTAGCCTAAATTATCAATCGTGATTGTGGGATCCGTCAATATAACGAACTCTAGAGCCCTTTCTAGCTAGAAAACATATTATATAACAAAAGCATGAATCCAGCAAATCATCAATATATAAACTCATGCCAAATTTGACGATTAGCCAATAAAACCTACAACGTATTAACGTATAAAATATTGGGTGATTCAATGCACACTTTGAGCTTGATATTTTTACTTAGGAACCAGGCATATTAGCTAATTTGTTTTAATGTTGTAGAATATGTCTTACAAAGAAACAAAAGCATTCAACTACTTGCATATTTTCCGAATGTCAAACAGCACCAACCAAAATCATATGTACCATCCTTACATATGTACTATGTTGCACCTTTAGGAGGAAATTCACTTTCTGATACACTTTTCTTGTCTCATACAATAAATATAGTAAATTAGTAACATCTTGTTGAAATAATCACACTTTGAAATAAAATATGTTTTATAAGAGAACAAAATCATCCAACTACTTTTATATTTTCCTAATTTCAAACATTTATAGCAAAAACCATATGCACTATCATGTTTATATATTGCACATTAAGGAGGAAAGTCATTTTATAGACATTTTTCTAATCTCATAAAAAAAAAAGGTTAACTTATTAGTACACGTCTTGATCAAATAATTATTTTGAAAAAACAACGAGTCAATATACCCAATTTCAAGTATAAATTATTTCTAAAAATATTTATAAAATGAAAAAATAAATTTTTTTTATTATTAAATTATTTAATATGAGAATAATAATATGCAAATTATAAAAAATTGTATTAATAGACATAAGTATATATATGAGTTAACTGTGTGTGATACAATATTTGCGTAGTTACATGTAATTTGTTATTTTATGAATAATATCACTTAATTTGTTAATGTATAAATAATTTTAATATTATTCTTTTAATTGAATTTATTTCAACAATGATACCGATGGATTGCATAAGTTTAAATTTAGTATATATATTAGAGTTACCATATTAATAATATGAATATATATATATATATACAACTTGAGTAATAATTTGCAAAACAAAATTGTACTCATAATTATTTTCATAGAAAATATATTGTTGTTTTTCCTTAAATTATATTTGTTTTGTAAGTCATTACAACCATTATAGTTATAATATAAATGCTAGCGACACACCTGACTTTTTAATAAACATTTGGCCGGAATATAATCCCAATCCCTAGTGTCAGACGAAAAACAAAACAACGATTCATTTAAGAGATAATCGATTACTATAAAGTTTTTTGAATCTGCTGACCATGATATAAAACACATTTGAAACGGTGAATTGATTTCACAGGTAACCTGATCAAAATTTGAGATACTATTTCATCAGGAAACTGTTCCATTTCTCTTTCATCTGTCACCTTTTTGTCATCCATCTTCTAAACAACACAATAATCACACATGAGTTTTACATCCAAAGTAAAAACATAAGATAAGAACACATCAAAAAGAAAAATGACAAACGAGAAGCAGCTTTCCCCCTTTTACAATACCCAGTTCGAACTCGGATTAGTCGGAGTTTAATAGGCTTTGAATCACCGGGTAACTTTTACACATACCAAAAGAATAGTAAATTGAACAATGACACTAGAAATGAGATTATTTATTCAAATTTATTTCAAGAATCAATCAAACCAACACAAGAAATTTTACACATACCAAAAGATAAGTAAATTGAACAATGACACTAGAAATGAGATTATTTATTCATGATAGATATTATATTTACGATAATATTTTTCGCGTCATCCTTGGGCCCAAGGACAACAAATGGCTTGGCCTTAATGGGTCATTCCTCCAGCCCCATTCCCTAACATGGGCCAAATTCAGCAACGGCCCACCTCTTAAGGTCCACAACAGTAAGCATATTATATTGGGCAGCGTATGTACGGTCCACCCATGTCACCAACAGAGTTTGCTAGTGCTTATTTTTCACCGGGCCTCTCTACACCGGATAATGGATGGTATATGGATTCGGGAGCTACCACCCACATGACTCATAATTCCGGTAATCTTCTTCCCTTGTTTAAATTAAGCACTAATAATCATATTTTAGTTAGTAACAGTCATCGCATTCTAATTAATGGTTATGGTCATACTAAATTCCCAAACAAACTTGCTCTTAGAGATGTCTTACTCGCCCCTCAAATTATTAAAAATCTTATTTCAGTTCGTAAATTTACCTCTGATAATTCGGGTTCTATTGAATTTGACCCTAATGGTTTTTCTGTGAAGGACCTTCGAACGAGAGGGTAGTCACCAGATGCAATAGTTCGGGAGATCTCTATCCCATCACCACCAATGATCCAAGCACTTGTTTTGCCACATCTCTCACAACAGTTGCCCCTACCACTTGGCACGACCGTCTAGGACACCCGGGAGCACCTTTTTAAGCTTTCTTAGGAGCAATAATTTTATTAATTGTAATAAGGAGCTAAACTCCAATTTTTGCAATTCATGTCAATTAGGGAAACATGTTAGACTACCATTTTATCTTTCGAATACTGATTCTTATTATGCTTTTGATATTGTTCATGCCGATTTGTGGACATCCCCTATTCGTAGTAGCAATGGTCACAAATATTATTTAGTTCTTTTGGATGATTTTACTCATTATGTTTGGGCAATTCCTTTAGCTTCTCAATCTCAAGCCTACCAAAGTTTTCTATCTTTCCGACAATATGTTTTAACTCAATTTAAAAGACCCATAAAATCCTTTCAAAGTGATCATGGTTGTGAATTCGACAATGACCCTTTTAAACAATTTTGTCTAGATAACGGTATGGTTTTTAGATTCTCATGCCCTCACACATCTTCCCAAAATGGCAAAGTCGAACGTATGATTCGGACTATAAACAATGTCAAGCGCACCTTACTTTTTCATGCTTCTCTACCCCCTACATTTTGGGCACATGCTTTAGAGACCGCTACATATTTATTAAATATTTTGCCAACCAAGTCTTTAAAGAACTTGACCCCGGCTCAGGCTCTCTTTCGCACTAACCCGTCTTATGATCACCTTTGGGTTTTTGGGTGTCTTTGTTTCCCAAATTTGTCCTCCATTGCTCCTCATAAGCTAGCTCCAAAATCTACTCCTTGTGTTTTCTAAGGGTACCCTTCTAATCATTGTGGATATAAGTGTCTTGATCTTTCCCACTAATAAAGTTATTATTTCTCGACATGTAGTGTTTGACGAGTCTACCTTCCCATACAAAAATTTAGCTCAATTCAAGCTAAAAGATTATGATTTTCTTGGATTTGATGACCAATCTCCTTTGCTCACCCATCCATATCTACGAAGTCAGCTCACCAACACTAGCCTATATCCTCTACATCAGCAGGCCCAACCCTTATACTCCCCTGGCCCAACCTCACCTCCTTCCCCCCAAACTAGGCCCTTACACGCTGTAGTGGGCCACACACCACACTCCCAAACCGTGCAGCCCACTTCTTCACTCCCTCCATTGCAGCCCACCCCGCAACATCAATGCGGGCTTCCCTCACCAGCCCACTCATCTCCTCGCACCCCCCTGCCACACCAAACGAGACCACCTGTCACCCTTTAATCCCCGCCACCCGTGCGTGGCCTACCCCTATTTCAGCCCGCTCGGCCACCTCCACCCTTTCCTCGTATCACCCGTAGTCAACGGGGTATTTTTAAGCCTAACCTGAAATATTGTAACCTCACAGTTCAACACTCGGGTCCCCCTCATCTTAAATCCCCTCTTCCAAAATCATATAAACAAGCTTTAAATGACCATAATTAGAATGCGTCGATGAATGATGAGTACAGTGCTTTAATTAAAACAGGGACTTGGGATTTGGTGCCTAGGCATGCGGGGGTGAATATTGTTAATTGTATGTGGCTATTTAAACATAAATACAAGTTTAATGGTGACCTTGAAAGGCACAAAACTCGTCTTGTATGTGATGGCAGGTCATAGGAAATTGGTGTGGATTGTGATGAGACGTTCAGTCCGGTAGTTAAACCGGCCACTATTTGCACTGTTCTAAGTCTAGCTCTGGCGAAAAAGTGGTCGATACATCAGTTAGAGGTCAAAAATGCCTTTTTACATGGTGATCTGCAGGAAACTGTTTACATGCATCAACCTCCGGGTTTTGTTGATCGGAGGGCTCCTTCTCATGTCTGTCGGCTCCGCAAGGCTCTTTATGGTTTGAAACAAGCTCCCAGAGCTTGGTACCAACGTTTTGTGAATTTTCTCATTAAATTGGGTTTTGTCATTGCTAAGAGTGACAACTCTCTATTTACTTTCCGACAGGGAGAAGATATGACATATTTGCTCTTATATGTTGATGATATTATTTTAACTACCTCATCTGATAGGTTGCGCACAGGGATAATCTCCTAGTTACAAACTGAGTTTCCCATGTCTGATTTGGGCCCTCTGAGTTATTTTTTGGGTATTGCAGTAACCCGAAAACCTTCTTATTTGCTACTTTCGCAGGAAAAGTATGCACAGGAAATTTTAGAGCGTGCAGGGATGGCCTCTTGTAAACCTGCAGCCACTCCAGTTGACACTAAGTCCAAACTTAGTGCAGATGCAGGGCCACCTTTTCGGGATTATACATTGTATCGCAGTTTAGCAGGTGCTCTTCAGTACCTCACTTTCACCAGATATTTCCTATGCAGTACAACAGGTGTGTCTCTTTATGCATGATCATCGGGAACCTCATTATGAGGCATTGAAACGCATTCTGCGTTATGTTCAGGGTACCATTGATCACGGTCTACATTTATATCCTATTGTTTCTCATCGACTGATTACTTACACTGACGCTGACTGGGGAGGTTGTCCCGACACCCGACGTTCCACTTCGGGCTACTGTTATTTCCTTGGGGACAACCTCGTATTTTAGTCATCTAAGCGGCAACATACTTTATCTAAGTCGAGTGCAGAAGCAGAATATCGAGGCGTCGCAAATGTTGTCTCCGAGGCGTGTTGTCTTTGCAACCTTTTGCTTGAGTTACATTGTCCTATGCGGCAGGATACTATTGTGTATTGTGATGATGTCAGTGATATCTACCTTTCTTGAAACCCGGTACATCACCAACGCACCAAACATGTGGAGATGGATATTCATTTTGTTCGAGAAAAGGTTACTTTGGGGCAAGTTTGGATTCTACATGTTCCTTCTAGATATCAGTTTGCCGACATTTTCACTAAAGGCCTACCACGAGAATTATTTCTGGAATTTAGGTCCGGCCTTAGCGTACGCTCTCCTCCCGCTACGACTACGAGGGTATGATAGATATTATATTTACAATAATATTTGTCGCAGATTAGGATAATTTTGTATATATTTTGTCATATCTCGTATCCTTATCATAACAGGATTACCACTCTTGTAAACCTCTATATATTTGAATCAATGGTACACACTCCAAGCTGAGGAGTTTTCCCGAAATCTAACAATTCAAATTTATTACAAGAATCAAATAACCCAACACAAGAACAACAAAATAAATCCATATTCATTATTTAACATCGAAAATTAACAGATTATCAAACTACATTACTGAATCTTTTTTTTTTTCAATCAAACACAAGAACTGCCAAACCATCATCAATTTCAGCTTTTTCAGGAAATTGTGTTTCCATACTGGAAGAATGAAGTTAAAGATTGAGCTAACCTGTAGAAAGGGAACGATTTGTGGTGCGGCGTCGATGGAAACAGCAGCTGGTTGAGTGGAAAACTAAGTGACGTACTATTTTTGTGTTGCGAAAGGGATGTATGTACTATCTCCGGTCTAAATTACTAGCAACTTTGAAATATTTTATATCTCACAAATAATACCCCAAAGTTGCGAGTAATTTGGACCAGAGGTAGTAATTGGAACTTGGAAGAAGAGGATTATAAAATGGTTTCTAATATTAAAACAAAATGGAAAATGGGAAGGGATTCTATAATAAAACATACTCCCTCCGTTTTTAAATACTTACTCCATTTCTATTTTTTGCACTATTCATTTGTCCTACTTTAACTAATGTTTGTGAATTATACATAAGAAAAAATATAGTCTTGTTGGTACTTGTTAGAATCATCTCAATGAATAAATTATTAATTTTCAATTGTTAGAATTTATACTTTTTGATAATTAAAGATATTAGTGATCAAAGATTAGTATCGGCATGCGTGTCCAAGAGAAATGGAGCAAGTATTTAAAAACAGAGGGAATACTTTTGTATATATCCGGTGTACAGTAATTTACTGTACATCGGGTCCAATTAAGAGGCAACATTTTAACTACAATTAAAATTTAATTTTAATTATAGACTTTTTTATAAAATTTTTTGGACTAATTACGGCTTGACACATGTCATGTTATATAGTATAACAAACTGTAGACTTTTGTTGACCGGTCTGGGATTATTTTAAAAAACACACTTTAAAGTTGAGATTATTACAGAATAATCGAAAGTTGGATTTATTTAAAATAAATCGGTTAAAGTTATAATTATTAAAATCAAAATTTCCTTTTTAGTTTGTAATACAAGTAGTGGATGTCCAAAAACAAATTACTACGTATGAATATCTTCAAGATTGTACCTCTTGTGGCAATAACTTCCCATACTTCCATAGGCCATAAGTCCATAACAAGTCCCAATTTAATTTCGTACGGATTTTTAATGAAAAATTTGTTCCGTGTCACAAGTTTTTGATACAATTTTCATAGAAAATACTTAAGAGAAGTCAATAATCCTCCATTATGCATTTATGCCTGGCCTCGTTTACAAAGAAATTCATCCCACGTCAGATCTCACTTTTTAATCAAGTAAGAGATGAAATTAAACCTTGTTTTTTTTTCTTTCACTCCTTAATGTTTTTATAAATTTCTATATCCTTATTATGTCGGAATTTAAGAGTAGTCATTGTTATGGATGTTAATGATCTAAACAATATTTTTGTCATCACGTAGCATAACATGATCAATCGAACAAAAACTTACTAGAGATTGAGAAAAGCACACGATAATGTACTACTTATTACTTTACAAACTAAACTAGTTGTTGCACTAATACACACGGTACGTGTAACATCATGTACGTGCTATGATGATATCGGACATTGATATGATACATGTACACTAAGCTAGCTATTAACTTAAATTTTAGTACGTGGTGGTGGTATCAACACTAGCTTCACACCTTGTACTAATTCCACACCTTCCAGGGAGCTGCATGGCCTTCCTAAGCACCACCTTTCCCATTAGCCGCCCCTCTCGGCTCCTCATCATCCTCTCCTTCTCCTCCTCGGCCACGCATTCGAGTGCCTCACACACGCAATCCTCGTCCATCTCTTGGAGCATCTCGCAACACTCCCTAAGACAACATGCTTGATTCCCCGAATTTGGGTACATTAACACGTCCATTTCACTCCTCATGTACTGCCTACAATGATCCATTTTCTCCCACCGTATTTGTCGCTCGCATTGTGAGCTTAGCCGTGCCTCGTTCGCTATGGTGGCGCCAGTTGTTTTGAAGGTGGAGATGACTATGAGGGTTGTAGCTATGGTTGCTAGGAGAAGTGAGAGTGTTTTTGCCATTGTTTCTTTTTCTTAGATGATTTAGTTGATGTGAGATGTTATTTGGGAGAGTAGAATTGTTTCTTTTATACAGAGGATTTTGATGAGATGCTTAATTTGCATGTTAAATACGTGGCTTTTGAACTTTATAATGTTTGATGTTGTGGTGTGGATGTGCATGTTGTGATAGTTAACACGTTGTGGTGTTGTATATTTCGTGTCTTAGACCTCTTAGTATTTGTTTGTACTTGAGTGATTTTTCAATAATACTTCGTATTTAATTTGTGGTGTATTACTTACAACTTTGTCTTAATTTAAACGGAACTTTTAAATTTGTAGTGTTCATGGTCTTTGACATATAATCAAGACATTTTCGGTTTTTCATAACGTACTACGCATTATGTATCAACTAAAGGGTACCTATAATATATGGTACTGGTAACCATATTGTTACTAGTTGATTGAATGTTGCATGTTAAATTGGGACAAAGGAGTGCAATTGGATCGTATGATAGATTATCCCTCAAACTTCTCATTCTTTTAGATTGTTTCTTAGCTAGAATTGAAGGATTTATATACAAAAAATGCATATGGATCTGCTAATATTAATCAAATACCCGAGGAGTTGAGGTTGTGGTAGAATGAGAGATGGGTAACATAATATTATACTTCGTATGTAAATAAACCATATAAATTGTATAAACTAATCCAATATAATTTTATAAATTAATTCAAACAAATAAAATTGTCCCAATTTTAAAACTACTTGATATAAAAATTTAATTATGTGACAAATAATGAAATGATATACCCAACTTTCTTATTTTTTTGATAAAGTAAACAAAAGCTAAGATTGTCTTCTTTTAGGATTAAATCCCAACTTATCAAAAGCAAGGGGTACATTCTAAAAACGGGTCTACAATCTATATCTTTTATTTCTCATTTATGCTTGCCTTGATTATAATAAATTGGATTATCAAATAAAACCTCTTTTTTTTTTTAGGTAAAAATGCAAGCAAGAGTAAGATATTGTGCACATTGATTACATGGTACACTTAGTTTCCATGGTGCCACACCTCAAAGGTAGCTCCATTGCCTTATCCAATTTTTCACCTGGTCCAATCTTAAACTTTTCCACCATCATTTTCATGGCCTCACATTGGCATACCGGATCCATCATAACTCTCAACTCACTACAACACGTATCGAACGGCCGCTCCTCTTGAATCCCTACAACGTTTTTCACATTAACATTATCCCAATACCTCGTAACACCACTCTGTGATACAAATTGTTCACAGTGGTCTGGCCAACTAGTCGATAGATAGTGGCGACACTCCCGAATTACGTCATACTTATTGCCCTTACCCGGGATGGCAACACCGTCCTCAATGTCGATCTTGGTGGTTCTAGGAGTGGCGGTGTGGGTCAGCGCCACCAAGATCACCATGAAGGTTGCAAGAATCACAAGCTTGTAATTCATCAAATTATCAGTTGGGTTTTGCTATCTTTAATTTGAGGAGATTAGAAATTAATAAAAGTTAGAGATTATGAGAGGTAGTTAAGAGTTATTTATTAGGAATTAGTGAATAACAAACGTATAAATGCATGTTAATAACGTGGCTTATAAAGATGATTATACGGAAATGTCACATATGGTTTGAATTTGAAGATGCAAGCCGGATGCCCGGATTTATGATATAATTTGAGTTTGCGTATACGTACAAATGACTTCTCATAGAAAATAACATGCATGGAAAAGTCGTAAAAATTACAGAAATTAATTTTTTGTTTTTTTAATACTTAAGGTAAACAAGTACTCTCTTTGTTTCTCTAATTAAATTCATTCCTCGAGTTTCTTATATGCCACAAATCCAAAATATATATTACATATATACTACCTCCGACCTTCGTTACAGGTTATGTGTAGCAATTAGATATTTTCATTCTTTGCTTTATGTCAAATCGTTGTCATAAGCTGTTACGGAGGTAGTAGTAAAGAATGACATGCCTTGGAACAAAAAGCAGAGAGGGCCAAAGTTTGACCTTCAACCTCTAGTAAAAAAAACAAAAAAATAAAGGAAATTTTGACAATTACCACCTTTTGTTATGTCCATTTTAGCAATTACCACCTTGTATTTTTTTTTTTTTGAAAATTACCACCTTCTACTTTCAAAAACATCAAAAGTTACCACCTTCTTGCCCCCCAACTACCACATGACGTCATTTTGGGCTCATTCTTTCCCTTCCCTCCCTGTTTCCCTCACATTTCTCATTCTTATTTGGATTCTCATCTCCCCTTTCACTTTTTTTCCCCCAAACCACCAATAATTGTTCGTCAATCTTGATTTGGAGGAGTGAATTGAAGTGTTTTTGATTGTTTGGGGGAAAAAAAGTGAAAGGGGGGATGATAATCGAGTTAGGAATGAGAAATGTGAGGGAAATAGGGAGGAAAGGGAAAGAATGAGACCAAAATGACGTCATGTGGTAGTTGGGAGGCAAGAAGGTGGTAACTTTTGATGTTTTTGAAAATAGAAGGTGGTAATTTTCAAAAAAAAAAAATACAAGGTGGTAATTGCTAAAATGGACTAAACAGAAGGTGGTAATTGTCAAAATTTCCAAAAATAAATAAAAAATTCTTTCTTTTGAGTTTCTTAAAGTATATGCCACAATAACACATTATTTGAAAGAATGGCGGATCTTGGAATAAAAAATAGAGGGGTGCAAAATTTGACCTTCAAATTAAACTCTAGTTGATACTTAACTATTGTGACAACTTTTAAAATTTATATTCAAAGCAATAAATTCTTTATATCTAATGGGTGCAGAGCCGTATGAACCTCAATGAAAATTCTTTCATGAAAAAGATGGGTTGCAAGATATGGTTTGATAAACAAAAAAAAATTGAGAGAACTAACTAATAATAACTGGTCATAGGATTATATACAATAATTTCTTGCTTTTTGTGTATTGTTTTTGTTAATTTTTATACGATTTTTTTGTTAGAAACTATATAATAAATCACAAATTTTATTAAAAAAAAAAAAACTACCCAAATAAAAAAGTAATTATTGTAAAAAAAAAAAAAAAAAAAAAAAAAAAAAAAAAATTCTCTAATAACAGATAAAATGTTATAACATACATGATTCCTATACTAGAGATAATCATTATCCCTTATTTGTTACCTCTCCCAACATTAGTAATAAAAAATATTTCTATCTTCAATCCTCAACTTGATACAAGGGATGATACAAGGGACTCCTTGATTCCTTTCCATATGTAAACTAAACAAATAATGGTTAACCTTTATTTTATAGTTTATTATCCTTCTTATTAGTTTCTCTTTCATTTCCTTTATAATATTCATAGCAAATATGCACCAAAACACTCTATTTTGGACCTAAGCTAGGTTAGTTAGTTGAAGGAGTTTTATAGAAGACATGTTTACAATTTCTGGGCTAGCTTAAGATATTAGTTTTCTCCAATAAAAGCTAGGGTGCATAGTAGAGTATAAACACACATGAAAGATTAATGCATGCTAATGGTAATTATAAGAAATTTAAACATAAAAACAGGCATATCATAGCCAAATACAATAATGGACAAACTAATTACTTAGAACAATAAAAAAAGAAGAGTGATCGATCTAAATAGGAACAGATGGAGTAAAACTTATATACGAGATATCACTGAACGAGCTAATTAACTTTTATTTATTGTGCATAGCTCAAAGGAAACAACCAAAAACAAGAACAACAAAGCCCAAAATAAAACATCAAGGTACACGATGATGTACCCTAAAACTATCCCTTATAACACTCTCTTAAGCAAATTAGACTTAACTAATTAACTAAGACGTTTAAAAGACAATGATCATAACCATCCACCATACATGATGATGATGATGATGATGATGACCATCCCTTAGCATGCATACATGCATGCATGCACATCATGATGTAGCTAGTACGTCTTACTCCATTTTAGACATGCGGCACTTGCGTTGCATGGTACCACACATCCTAGGAATATTCATGGCTTTTTCCATCATTCTTTGTTGATGCATCATCCCTTTATCTTCCACCATCATCTTCATGGCTTCACATTGACATTGTGGCCTCATCATCTTCAACTCATCACAACACTTCTCTAAGTATTGCTCCCTTCCTTGGTTATCATCCTCCTCATCACGACCCATGTACCTCCTCATCCCTTGCATCATGTACTGCTCGCAGTGGTTCGGCCACTGCGACCTTAGCTGGCGGCGACACTGGCTAGATGACCCCCTCCCTTGCTCAAACTCGTCTTCAATCTCGACTTCGGTGGTTATGATGGTGGCATGAGTCATTACCACCAAGGCTGCCATCACGGCAGCTAGTATCACAAACTTGGTTATTGCCATTTGATTATTAGAACTAATAAGTTGTGTTTCTTTATTTGGATTTGGTTGTTTGTTGTGGGAATGTTGGTTTTGAGGATAAGAATATTGGATTATTTATAGATGAATAAGGATAGTTATTGCATGCAATGGAGATAACGTGGTTGGTGAAGATAGTAAGTGACAGCCACCAAAGCTTTGTTTCTTGGCTTTTATGTGGATTTATACGACATATGGTGTTATTTTGCATGGAGAATGTATGCAAGGTTCGTTGGTCGCCATTTGTAATTGCTTTAATAAAATAATTTACAATGGTAAGATTATTGATGTGGTATATGATCTCATGATCTTGACAATAATAAACTCAACTGCTATTTGTCGCTCCCAATTTACCAAGTAACGCTCCCTTTTTGACTTGAATGGACCACTATGCCCTTTATGCAATTTGTGTTATAAAAAGGACATTGTTCCCCATTTGGACACAATACATGAAACGGTCCCCTCACTTCACGACATTACTGTCCCGAGCCTCCTAAAATCGGTCCCCACGGCCTTGCAACCAAATCGGTCCCCACGACCACCTAAATTTTCTATTTTTAAAAATCGTGAAATTTTCCGACGGTTCTTGGGTCATGGACGGCGAGTGGAACATACGTACGCCGGAGAATGCGTCGGATCATTCTGTAAGTTTTTTTTTATTTTTTTTATTTTCGGTAATTAGGACATCCGCCTAAAATTTCCGGATGTCCTAGGTACATCCGCCTAAAATTTCCGAATGTACCATGGAACATCCGGAAATTTCAAGCGGAAGATGGGATCCGCCTAAAAAATCCGGATGTTCCATGGTACATCCGGAAATTTTAGGCGGATGTACCAAGGGACATCCAGAAATTTTAGGCGGATGTCCCTATTCATATTTTTTTTAAATGTTAAGTACGTTTATTTAATTTTTTTTATGTTTATTAAGTTTTTTTTATGTATTTTTTTCGTGGTCTTGTGATTATTGTTGTGATTTAGTATTTGATAATTAATGTAATTTTGTTGTATTAATATGATTATTAGTAATATGTTTATTTTTTGTTTCATTATTATTATTATTACTTATATTATTATTATTATTATTGAAAATATTATTATTATTATTATTATTATTATTATTATTATTATTATTATTATTATTATTATTATTATCGTAGTTGTTGTTGTTGATATTATTGTTGTTGTTGTTGTTGTAGTTGATATTATTATTGTTGTTGTTACTGTTATTTTTATTGCTGTTGTTGTTGATATTGTTATTATTAATTAGTAGAAATATAATTTTAATATTATTATTATTATTATTATTTATTAATTAATTAATGTTATGGTCTTATAAATTGTTTTGTAGTTGTTATTATAATTTTTTATTATCATTAATATTGTTATTGTTTTGTATTTGTTGTTATTATTATTAGTATTGTTATTAGTATTGTTATTATTATTATTATTAGTATTGTTTTTATTATTATTATTATTATTATTATTATTATTATAATTATAATAATAATAATTATTATTATTATTATTATTATTTTGACATAAAGCATGTTTTGTTTAATTTGTATAGGATATGGAATCTGAGGAAGGCGGTGACGGTGTGAATTATAGTGGGAATTTTGTCACTGATACGTTTTTTCCTACATTTGGCGATGCAGTAACATGGGCTGATGGTGTTTCCATAAAATTGGGATTTATATTGGTGAAATCGTCTTATAAAAAAACCAGAGATGGTCGGCCGTATCGGTATTTGCGATGTGATCGGTCACGAAGGAGCAAGCCGAGAGATTTGGAGAACGCGATACGGAAGGACATCAAAACCAAAGCTAATGGTTGTCCATTCTACATCAAGATATATTATGATGTGAGCACCGAAAGTTGGAAGATCATTGCGAAAAATGATCACACCGGGACACATAACCACCCAATGATTGTGTACCCAGAGGGTCACCGTAAAGTGAGCCGATTGAGTCAGGGTGCAAAACAGGTTGTGCGGGACATGATAAAGTCCAAGGTTGCTCCCTGTAACATCATGTCCACTATTGCCGAGCAATTTCCTGATGATCATCCAAACATCTGACACATTTACAATTGTCGAAATGACTTCAGGATGGAGATGTCCGAAGGAAGAGGAGTTGTTCAGCAATTTCTTCATCTGGCGAGAGAGAGTAAATACATTTACTGGGTCACGAACGATGATCACAACGTTTTGCAACATGCATTTATGGTGCACCCGATCATGGTCAACATACTCCGCACATACCCACATGTCATAGGTATGGATTATACTTACAAGACCAATCGATATAACATGCCTTTCTTTGAGATAGTAGGCGTGACACCGACAAACCAGAATTTTCTAGTTGTATATGTTTTCATGCGCGACGAGTGCACGACTAGCTATCGGTGGGTGTTGCAGAGATTAAGGGAGTTGATTGGGTTTGATATAGAGCCATCTGTATTTATTTCAGACCGTGATCTTGAGCTATGTGCGGCTTTGAGAGAAGTCTTTCCAGGGACGTCACATTTACTCTGTCTATGGCACATCAACAGAGATGTGGAGGCTAAGGTGACGAAGATGTTTGGAAACAAGACAGTTGGTGTCAGTTTTAGAGCTGGGAGATGGTTCAAAATCGTGAATGCAACAACACAGGCGGAGTATGATCGTGCTCTAACTGTCATGCAAGTGAGGTGGGGAAAATATCCGGAAGTGATTCAGTATGTTCAGAGAACATGGCTTTGTCATAAGGAGAAATTTGTGAAATTTTAGACGAACCAGATTCTTCATTTTGGTAACACCACCAACTGCAGAGTTGAGAGCCAACATTCAGCAGTGAAAACTTGGTTTGAATCATCCACAGGTTAGTTGTATTATTTTATTAGTTGTTCTCGTTGTTACGTAATTGTAATTGTATTTGAATTTACTAATTAGAATCATTGGCAGGTGCTTTGGATACCGTATGGGCCCGAGTCCATTGTCATATCGGTAATCGCATCATACAAATTCGTAATGAGTTGGAGGCATCAAGGTGTAAAATTGGTCAGATGTACAGACAGTTGCCACTGTCACGTATAAATGGCAAAGTGTCTCAACATTGCTTGAAAGTTCTGGATAAGGAGACAAAAAGGATGCGGGATTTGAGTTACCAGGTCCATGAACGGTGCGGATGTGCTATGCGTGTGACCCATGGTCTTCCATGTGCTTGCCAGATACATGATTCGATAGTTGCACAGACAGGATGTATAGCAGCCAAATTCATTCTTTCTGGAAGATACTGGTTATTGGTGATGGTGTTAACATTCCTGAAGTGGTAAATGATTTGACCGAGGAGGCTGCACATTTTCGGTCCCTAATCGACGAAGTCATGGAAAGTGACCCGGCCGTACGTTGAAATGTAACGCGAATCATTGAAGAGGAGCTACATCCAGATCATTCACACCTTGAAAAACCACATATCAACCTTAACACTCGTGGTCGACCGAAGAGAAATAACACTAGGCGTGATCGTAGCTATTTCGAGCATGTGAACCGTCAACGCACTCAACGTGGTGGTGACCCAGAACCAGGTAATACTAAAATTCTATATTTAATATAAAAATATGTAAACTTAATACTTGTAGCTTTACTAATAATTTATCTTTTAATTTTGTGTTGTAGATCCAAGTGACATTAGTCAATGCAGGTATTTGAACTTGCTTCCAGCCCCAATGTTGCCGTACATTACGTCTTGGAAGGATGTCATCGGTGATGGGAACTGTGGCTTTCGTTGTGTCGCCGACTTCTTCTTTGGCGATCAAAATCAGTGGTTTGACGCTCGGGAAACAATAGCGAACGAGATCGCTGGTCATCCTGATTTGTACGAACGGATTTACGGGCTTGGGCGACTTTGGATGAACGTGGTACGTATTCGATGGGATGGTGGGGTTGTCGGGGAGCGGCATTGGATGGTTACAATTCAAGATTTATTTCCTATTGCTACGTGGTTCAACGCAAGGGTGATTTGTCTCGGAGTAGGCCTAGTACCAACTTGCTACTACCCATGCATCATAGTCTTACCGCTTAGGGCACGCAACGGGGTTCGGTCACCGACTCGAGAGTTTGTGATTGCTATAGTTGGTGGATCACATTTTATCCGTCTTGACCTTGTACCCGATTCACCACTCCCGCCGATCGCCGGTTGGTGGACGGAACACCACGAGGATAGTGTCAATGGATGGGATCAAGCATATCAATTGAGAAGGGACATGTGGGATGCATTAGTTAGGTAGTTTGTAATGTACATTCACTAACTTTGAACATTTGTAAGAAAATTAGAATTATGAAATTAATTTTAAATGTATTTGCTTTTAATCTAACATGATATGCAACAAAACATCAAATATAAAATAAAATAAGTGTCCAGTTTATACATTACATTTAAAAAAAATTAAAAATAAGTTCATAACATAATTAAAACCACTAACAGAACATCTAATCAACATAATATAAAGTCCCATTTTTGACTTCCAATCAAATACAAGCTGCTCAATCATTGTTCGAGTCTCACTCGACATTTCAGGATACTCAGCTAGTGCTCTTTGGTGAATCTCCATGGACCGACCCATCCACTGCAAATCAAACAATAACATATTATAAACACAAAAATTCATAGAAGTCATTGTTAATATAATAATAAGCATAAATACTTACGTAATCAGTGTTAGTCCGCTCATGCAGGTTGCTTGTAACTCCTGCACCTGGAGATACCCGCGGGTGAGAAAACCTGTACATCCACTGCATGTAACCAGGCACAACCGAAGGAGCTGCGACACTAAGCCTGGGTAGGGCACCTAAAACAACACTCTGAGATACCCCAGGGACAAACCTGTTCCACATCACAGCTGTCATCTCAGTCGGGAAGTCTACCCAATACATCATCAAGTTAGTCGGCCTCTTGGCCTTCTCTGGCCTGATGATCTCTCGGGGAATGCCTTGCACGAAACCAAGCTAGCGCACCACTCTATCAGGCATGTACGGCTCAATGATGTTACGGTACTGGATGCAGCCAATGAATAAAGTGGGGGGCACTCGTAATGCAGGATCAGCTCCGTACGGTAGCCAGTTCACCTCACGGTCAGTAAGCGCATCAATCCTAGTACGAAAAGCTAACAGGCGCTCCAGGTTCTTGCTAGGACATCCCGCTCCAACATCCCAAGCAGACGCACGAGGCATTTGAAGGTCCCGGGTCAAGGTACCCTGCTGTGGCCGAAAGCACGGAAAGTACTCGTAAATCCACGCTTGCAGAAGCGTGAGACAACCACCAATCGAATCAGCACCTTTCCGTGATGCCGTGCCCAGTTGCCGATACAAGTAGGCCAGTGCAGCTGTTCCCCAAGCATACTCGTTAATAGGGACATCCGTGTGACATAGCTCGTGGAGGAAGGAAGGATGCGTACGGTTACCACTCTTGTCTATAAACAGTGTACCTCCAAGCACTAACCACAAGTATGCATCAAGCTGCTCACTAAAATCCCGGTCAACCGCCAATGTCGACTCAAAAATCTTATCAGTCAACACCCGACTACCCTGCCAAATGGTCTTTGTGCCGCAAACCTCAGACAGATCATCTGGAGTCATATCCATGGTGACCGAGCACGCATCCCGTAACACGTCCGTGCTAGGAGTAGTGGTCACCATATTGCCTGCAACCCGTAACCCAAGTATGTTGTACACGTCGTGCAGCAAGATCGTAATCTCCCCAAATGGCATGTGAAAGGTGTTCGTATCTGGCTGCCACCTATCAACAAAAGCAGAAATCAACGGCCAATCAAGTCTCTTAAACATCAGGCCGGGCAAGTGAGACAACCAACTAGCATCAATCGCCGCAAGGTCCTCCACAGATTGACGACCTCGCCAAGTGAACAAGTCAGAACATAACTTTGTCCTACTCAAACAGCGCAAAACACTACGCTCCTGCTCCATCCGGATATACCGTGCCACGTGACCGCCAAAACTAGGGATAACTGACCCATTCTCAGGCCCACCCGGCATCGGTTCCTGCACTAACCATGCCTCTGCAAAGCTGGAAGTAGGCTGACTCGATCCACTACCAACAAATCTCCCAGACTGACCCCTATATACCATATGGAAATCCTGAGGGTCCTGTTCTTCATCCCGGTCACCAGCATGACTAGCCGAACATTCTTCTTCCTCGTCAGATATGGGTGCTTCACTTGCAGAGTACAAGGGCCGACTACTACCAGACTGTTGGTCTCTCGACCAACCACTAGTAGACCCGTATTGCTGCTGCTCGGGCTGAAGCGGTGAAGATCGAGATGTCTGTCTCCTAACAGACGCATTCAGACGTCGTGATATTGCATGTCGAGCACCAGAACCCTCGATCTACATAAAATAAAAAAATAATCCGATTTTAGTAATAATAATAATAATAACAATAATAATAATAATACTATTATAACAACAACAACAATAACCATAATAACAATAATAACAACAACAACAACAACAACAACAACAACAACAAATACAAATTAACAACAACAAATAAACTTAACAACAACAACAACAACAACAACAAATACAAATTAACAACAACAACAATAACCATAATAACAATAATAATAACACTAATATCAACAACTATAATACTAATAACAATAATAATAATATTATTATAACAACAACAAAAAAAAAAATTAAACAACAACAATAACCATAAAAACCCTAATATCAAATTAGTTTAATAATAATACTAATCATATTTTTAAAAATAATAACACTAATAATAATAATAATAATAATAATAATAATAATAATAATAATAACAATAATAATAATAATAATAATAATAATAATAATAATATCAACAATAATAATAACAATAATAATAATAATACTAACCATAACACTTCAAAATAACAACAAAAATAACAAAATCCAAAAAAAAAAAACAAATTATCAACAACAACAATAACCTTAACATTATTAATAAAAACCTAATATCAACAAAATAATAAAAATTATCATATTTTTAAAAATAATTACATTACAAAATATACTAACCATAATAATAACAACAACAATAATAATAATATCAACAATAATAATAACAATAATCACCATAACACTTCTAAATAACAAAAAAAAAACAAAATCCGAAAAAAAAAATTAAATTAACAATTTTATTAACGGGCAAAAAAAAAAAAAAAATTGGAACTTCCACCCAAAAATTCCGGAAGTTCCATGGAGGATCTGCCTGGAATTTCCGGATCCTCCATGGAACATCCGGAATTTCTGGGCGGATGTCACTTCGGCCCAAAAATTCCGGATGTTCCATGGAGGATCCGGAATTTCCAGGCGGATCGTCCATGGAACTTCCGGAATTTTGGGCGGAAGTTCCTGGGATCCGAAATTAAAAAAAAAAAAAAATTACCTCTTCGCCACCATCGCCGCCGCTGCCACCAGCGCTGCCGAAGCTCCTCCCTCCGAATCTCAGCCTAATCCGCCTTGAATCACCCATTTTTTTGTGTTTATGATGATTTTTGTTTTTTTTTAAAATGAAGAAAAAATTTTGAATTTTTTTTTTAAATAGAGTGTTTTAGAGAGTTAGAGAGTAAGAGAGTTGGAGAGTAAGAGAGTTAGAGAGAGAAGTAAGAAAGTGAGAAATGTTGGTCGGGAAGGAAAAAACCGTATTTATATATTAGTGGTAAAATTGGAATTTCAAGACAAAAAGGGAGCGTTACCCGGTAAAATGGGAGCGACAAATAACAACACTCATAATAAAACTATCACTTTATTGTAGTCAAGTTAGTTGAATAATAATTAAAAGGAAAATTTGTCAAAAATAACACCACCTTTCACCGGTCTTCTAAGAATAGATAGACCTTTAGGTTATTTCAAAATAAAACGACATTTGATACACATCTGCCAAAAATGAAACGCAACCTGTTGGTAACTTGTTAAAAAGGTTACTATGACACGTGTCACAATGTCATTAGTCAATTTTTTATTTTTTGTTTAAAAAAAAACCTTAAAATAAAAAAAAAATCTTTAAAAAAAACTGAAATTAATAAAATAAAATAAAAAAAACCTCTCCCTCCCGGGCAGCCAACCCCACCGCTAGGCCTCCTTGTAACCACCGGCGACCAGAGCCCCAACTCCGGCGTCGGCGGCACCCCTTCTAACCCAGACTCCGACCACCAGCTCCAACCACTGAACCACCTTCCTCCCCTCCTAAAACCCTCCTCATTATTCTTCTCGAAAATCCTCCTCCCTCCCCTTGAAAACGTTCCTCTCCCCACCGGTCGGCGCCAAACCACCTCCACTATGCTGGCAAACCAATTTCGCCCTTCAGGACAACCGTCTCCACCCCTTCACCCCTCGAATCACCACACGAAACATTAAACCCCAAATTCTTGTGGTGGTTTTTGAATGGCTTGGGAAGAGGGGAAAGGGCCGAAAATGGGTCGGTAAAGGGAGGGGTGCTGGAAATGGGGTCGGGAAGTGGAGGGGCCGGAGAAAGGGTGGTTTCAGGTGGATGGTCTTGGTGTGGGTGGTGGATGCCAGTGAAAGGGGGTGGGCAGAGGGCTGGGAAGGGGGTTTGTTTTTTTTTTTTTAGTTTTTAGTTTTTTTTTTAAATCAAAAATAAAAATAAATTGACCAATCAAATTAGAACATGTGTCCCAAGGTTACCTATAAAATAGGTTACCGGTTTTTTGTTTCATTTTTGGCAAATGCATGTGAAAGGTGGTGTTATTCTGGAATAATCAAAAGGTGGTGCTATTATAGGAAGACCGCCCAAATGTGGTGTTATTTTTGACAAATTTTCCTAATTAAAATATACTTCCTCCGTTATTTTAGTTACAACACACACTTTATTACGGTATTTAAAAAAAGTGGGCCTCACATAATATAATACACTTAAAATGGGATTAATAGGTTGTAAGGAGTATAATCAAGTGTGCCATGTGCTTTAAATAAAGGTAATATTACAATTTTCACTATAAAAATCTTCCTTTTATAGTGTGTTGTAACTATTGTGACATTCCATTTTAGGAAAGTGTTATAACAATAAAGAAACGAAAGAAGTATATATTATATACTTCCTCCGTTTCTATTTAGTTGACGCGTTTGATTTAGGCACATATATTAAGGAGAGGAGAGAGAGTGAGAGAGAATGAAAAAGCAAGTGGAGTGGCTGTGGCAAGACGAAGGGGCGAAGCCAGAGGCTCCCTTGCTTGCTTACCGGACAAGAAAGATTAGCCTTAGACCCACTGATGTGGATCATCCAAGGCACATTAGCATGGCGTACTCCTCCTGTTCGAACCGGCAAGGTAAAAAAGTTACCCCAAAAGAAAACGTGTCAACTAAAAAAGAATTTCCTAAATAAAATACGTGTCAACTAAAAAGAAATAGAGGTAGTATATACGTAAAATATATTTTTTGCGTTTATATTAATAGTCATGCTAGTTGGATCATAATTGAAATAAAATTGCATTTGAAAAAAAAAATTATGGTACTTTTGTATAACATATCTACATGTCATTACCAAGCCCCAACATGAGCTGGACCAAAGCACAACCAAACCCGAACTACGTGTTGGGCCAAATGCCATGCTCACGGTACGATTTCTTGTGTTGACTCAAGAAAGTGTGCCAAAGCATGAAATTTGGCCCAAAGAGGACCCGTGTTATGTGTTACACTTGTTTTAGTCGGTTATGCTTTTTTAAGTGTTGCAAGTTTGGAGTTTTTGCAAGTGTCTCATTTTGAATTATGTAATGTTTACGCACGTCATTTTAATCAATGTTCACCACTAGTTTAGAATAATTGAACATTACGACCTTTTCTGATTAGATAATGACAAGGATCTATTGACTAGATCATTGATAATGTTGGTTTGTTAGGTATATCACCAGTACCCGAGTATGATTTAAGCACGGCATGAGAATGGCCTAGGCGTCTAGCATAGCCTAACGTCCTCTAACCTATTTGTTCGAGTGTGATGTGAGATGAAATAATATGCATATATATAGGACAAATCTTCGTAGGTACACAATTGATGTTGTACACATACAAGAAATCTTCGTAAGTACACAATTGACATGGTAAAACAGTGGATTGCCAACACGATCAGTTCATCGTGTGTCACGCAACACTAGTTGAGCTGAACCAAAGCATAGATCATGACCGATTGCTCGGCTTTAGGTCTTAAAGTGAACCAAAAACTACGGAGTACTATTTATGAAATAACCAAAGGTTCTACAGGAAGTTGCATGTACAACACACCCAAATTTTGACCAAACACACAAAATGACCAAAGGGGTTGAGTTAGAGCTCTTGGCTCACAACACCTATATTATTACACAGGCTTAATTTCACCCTCTCATAACATTAGGCATAATATGGGCCGGAATGGGCTGGGCTTCAAGATTTTAAGCATCAACAACATCAGAAGATTCAGCAGAAGCCAATGTAAACTCGGGCTGTAGCTTCTCGGTTGCTGGCCCATCAAGAGCGTTGTCTAGGCCCAATGCTCTTAGTGCTAAGTGGGCTGCCTTTTGTCCTGATATCATCATAGCCCCAAAAGTTGGACCCTGCAAAATATTATTTGGTATGTCAATATTTTTTTCATTTTTAAGAATATTTAAAAAAAAAAAAAAAAGTTTTGAGATTATTGTTAATTTTATTTTTCAAGTAAATGTACTAATCAATTTAGTAATTGATAAAACCTTTAAAAACACTCTGTAATATCAAACAATTTAAAAAGATTTGGCACTCATGTGATCATGACACGAAAAGTTGTGTTGTCACACTATAAGAGAGTGCCAAAATCATTTTCCCAAACAAGCAATATATGATTGTCCATTCATGTGAAGAGTAGATATTTTTTAGAACTAAGGTTTTCTACCTCTCATTTTACTTTTGTGGGGATCTCTTTAAAGATACTACAAAATGAGGATTAATCTCATCCATATTTCATAGTTTCAAAAATAAAAATAAAAAGGGGTGATTTTCATCCATATTCGCATATACCCTACAATTACTCCGTATACTCTAGCAAATTAATGGTTACAGTGATTATCATCATATCTCTTTCACAATCATCTTTTTGTAAGGACATTTCACGATTATCTTTTGTAATTATTGGTATCTCTTTTTTATTACAATAAATGAAATGGATGGTAATCACTAAAATCATATCACACTAACAATATGTTAAATAGATAGTAAATCTTCATGTCTTTAGAAGCATCTAGGTTCAACCTTATATCCTTCATTTGTTTATAATGATTTGTTGATTTTTATTTCTTTCCTTTTATATAAATATAATAAAGAATTGCCATTATTTGTATGTAAGATAAGTAACGAATTAAATTACATGCAAAACTCTCTTCACAATTTCATTAACTTTATGTAAAAGAGGGACCAAAAAACTAGACAATTACTCTATTCCCAACTTCTAGATAGAACAAATTGCATTGAAGTATTGTATTTACATTTTACACAAAACAACCCCAAATCAAATAAGAACATCCTACCCCATCACAAACTAAATAAAATTTATTCGTTAAAAAAAAAAATACAATTCATGATATACTATCGTTGATACATTATTTAGGAATTAATTTGTTGATGATATTGTAGAATAGTTCAAATTTAAGTCTATATTTTAGAAATCAACCCGATAATACGAGTCAAACTTAAACAAAAAAAAAAAATGTGGCAGTTTTATCTAATCCTAGATATAGAACAGAACACATTCAATTTACAAAAGATAACCTCAAATTAAATAAAAATTTCCAAAATAAGTTCAAATAATTTATAATTTCCTTGATTTATTAACTATTTAGATTTAAGTCCCTTATATGAAAGATCAACCACATAAAACATATACTCCGTATATTGGATAAGATAAATAAGAAATGTGGCATATAATTTAAAGACGACACGAATAAGATAAAGGGCAAAGGGCGTTACCATTCGAGGAGCACCATCAATCTCAGCAACCTCCATACCAGTAACAATCATACCAGGAACAACTTCCCTAGTCAATCTCACAATAGCATCCTCGGCCGAGTTCATGTCCAAGGCACTCATCCCAGGAACAGTCTTGATCATACCAATGTCTTGTAACCTTTTCACACCCGTGGCGCCGAATGGACCGTCGTGACCACATGAGCTAACCACAATTTTAGCCTCCATGACATTCGGGTCCATACAACTCTGGGTGTTGTGGTTCATGGACACTAAGGCCCAGTTAGTAACAACACCCGCGACACGGCCCGATTTCACGATCAAGTCCTCGGCAGCCACGGCATTGAAGAGCTTGACATTGGGTCTAGCCAAGAGCTTAGACATGATGGTGGAAGTGAATAGAGCAGCGTGTTTGATGACAACGTAGTTGTCCTGCTCATCGTATTCGATACCGAGCTCATCGAGGAAACGATGAGCCGGTTTACGGACAACCATGGCGGAGAAGAGCTGGCCACCGAGCCATGCTCCTCCGCCAGGGCTAACCGACTGTTCGATAAGGGCGACGTTGATGTCCGGGTTCTTGCTGAGCTCGTAAGCACAGCTAAGCCCGGCTGACCCGGCCCCGATCACGACCACGTCGGTATCGGCGTACGTGATCATGTCGGTCATGTAACGCCGGGTCATTTCCCGAGACACGATTGACTCACGGATCGGGTCGAATTTGTAGTTGTTAAGGTCGTACGGGGGAGGGGCCGGGGCGGCCGACATCGAGATGGAAGATTTGGACGGTTGTTGCTTGTATGAGATGGTTTTGTTGATGGGTGTGGTTAAAGGGGTGCCATAGATGGGTGAGTCTAGGAAAGCTGGCTTGTTTAGCTTGGAAGAAAGGGCAGCTGATGCCATTGAAGCCATTTTTTAGGGCTACAAAAGACAGAAAGGGTTGTTTTAATTTGGGTGTAAAATTTTTAGTAGTGAGTGAGTGAGTGTGAATGTGAGGGAGTGATGGATTTTATAGAAATGTAAAGTTGTTATTAGGAAAAATATCTTCTTTGATGTTGTGTCATATGTGACTGTGATTACCCTAAAAAATATTAACTGATTTTTAATTTTTTTTTCTAATTTAATTTGATTAAAATCAATGGACCGGTTTTAACCACTTAAAAATTTGTGGTGTGAGAATGAGGATATAAAGGTTTTCTTCCATCCCTTATCGAATTAATTATTACATCAAACATTGTTTTAAGAGACTTACATTATGTAGAATATAAAAAATATTTCTTTCAATTATTATTGGTATTATTTTTTAAATAGTGAATATGAAAATAGTTTATTTTCGAGATTTTTTTTTATTTTAAATTTACTTTAAAATTTTAATTATTTCACCGCATTTTCGAATGTTGATATCTAAAAGAAAATATTACGCTATATCATTTAATCTATTAAATTAAAGGGTTTTTTAAAAAAAAATTAAATCTATTAAAGTATTTAATTTATCATTATGTATGTATATTTTGGAAAAAAAAAAACATATATCAACTTATTTTTTAAACCAATAAATAAGAAAAATTAAAACGTAAATGAATTAAAATACTTGAATCTCAATTTAGTTTTCTACATAATTGTCAATAATTCATTAAACTTGATTTTTTATTACATACTCGAGATCATATTATTGTAATATGGTATAATTCATATTTTGATTTAATTCTTAATAAATTTCTACATTTTTGATGTGAGACATTGAATATTTGAAATATGATATTCGGAGTTATTATTTCGCGTTGTGTTCTTAGACAATTTTGGTTCACACTATTAAATTTTGAACCGTTTCAATGTAATATTATTATGTAATTTAGGGTTTCCCTTTAATTTGTGATAATGTAATTCACTTTGATATAATTTTGCAAAAACGTAACCTATTTTATTATAAAATAGGTTTCCCTATACTTTAACAGGTGTTATAATTTTTTACAAAAAAAAAAAAAGTGTTATTAACTTATTATTGTTCAACCAATAATTGATGTACATTCAATTTTGTTAAGGGGCATTTTGTAAATTTACAAAATTAAACAGAATATTCACCATTAGTTTGTTTTCATTAACAGTGAAGGAGGGAAACTCCAATCTTTAAGGGATTAATCATACCCTTATAGTTTCACTATTTTCTTAGAGTTCTCATTTAATGAAATTATGTGGTAAATCCATCAGAAATTAAATGGTTGTGTTTGAGACTGCCACCTTTTTGTTTGAGTATAGAGGCGGATTGGACTTGTAGGTCTAATGGTGGAAGTTAATGAGACAGGAGAGAGAATGCTTTTGAAGTGGAGTTGATGGAGCTGAGGTGGTGGTTAGGGTTGTGCAGAGTGCGGTCTAGACCGCACCAAACAGCAAAATTACCGCAATTTTGCGGTTTGGTGCGGTTTGAAAATTACGGTGCGGTTTTCAAATTTGACCAAACCGTGGTTTAGTGTAGTTTCAAAAAAAAATTCAAACCAAACCACAATTTAATGCAATGAAAACTCTTATATTGTATTTATATGTACTGAATTGTGTGGGTCATTATTAAGAAAACCAAAAGTTTTCCTTTCTTTTTTTTGGCTTTGTTCATTCCTCCATTGACAAAGAGAGAGGGTGGGTCTTCTCATTCTCTCTTTTCTTTGAAAGAAGAAGCTAGACAGGAAAAACGAACATTAAAAACAAGCCTTCGAGGATAACCGGCAAAAAGAAGAAATATTAGGGCCTATTCTCTTACGCTGAAATTCAGTTCAGTTCAGTTCAGCTCAGTTGAGTTCAGCTCCTAATTTCCTTCTCTTATAAAATATTCAGTTCAGTTCAGTTTAGTTCAGATCAGTTCAGTTCAGCTCCTAATTTCCTTCTCTTATAAAATATTCATTTCATTTCAGTTCAGTTCAGCTGAGTTCAGTCAATGAGAACATGCCCTTATTGTATGCACGAAATTCAAGGCAAAATATTTAGGGCCTATTCACTTCAGCTTAATTTCAGTTCAGTTCAGCTCCTAATTTCCTTCAATTCTCTCATAAAATATTCATTTCAGCTCAGTTCAATTCGGTTTAGTTCGATCAGTTCAGTTCATCTCCAATCAGTTTACCTCAATTCAGTAAATGTGAACAGACCCTTACTTAAGTGTCATTGGATTAACAAAATAGGACGTTTATCATTGTTAGAAACTTGTCAACCTAGGCTACTTAGTCTTCTCATAAAATAAAATAAGTTGAAGTGAGACCATAAATAAAATAAAAACAAAAATAAGAGAAAATGTTTTTTTTTAAATTATACTAATACTTAATTTAACAAAACGACTGATTAATAAATTGATACACCTTTTTTTTTTCTTTTTTTTTTCCAATGCATCTACAAAAAACAGGATGGATATCTCCTATGGAACTATGGACTACTTGACTACTCACTTGTAGCAATGTACGTAGCAATCATGCCTTTTTTATTTATATAATTTTTTTTTTTTTTAAATTTTTGGTACAACGTAAAGTTCCATTAAATATCTCTCCAACGCGTATATGCGCAATGAGGTTGATAGCCACTTCTGGCATTTTCTTGAGTGGTGATTTTGCCATATTTGAAATAGGTGGCTCGGAATTCTCGTGATTATTGATTTTTGACGGCCATTATGACGATTACTATTATACATATCAATGTCATTTTCCATCAATTTGCTTTTTATTGCTACTTCTATATCTAGAAGAACTATACCTCTTTAATTGGAGTAAAGTACAAAATAAGATGGCAATTAGTACAAAATAAAATGGCATTTACCAAACTCATCAAATCCTCACTTATGTATTATAGTGATTCATTATATCATCAAATTAGAATTAGATTAAAACTTCATGGGAACAGTTTAGCGTTTCTTTTATGTAAGATAAACAGTTTAGATTAATACTCGTTTGTCTAGTATATTTCACATGTCATAACTATAATACACATAAGTAATTATAAAATTCTCTTTGTCAAGAAAAAAAAAAAAAAAAAAAAAGGGTCATGTTAAACCAGAAATGAATACTTTAGTCTAAAAATGACAATATCTTACTATCAAACACCTCATAATAACTAGATTGACAGCTTGAACATTTAACAAAACTCTCATTAACTAAGCCCAGTGCATTAAGGTGATGAAAACCTTTAATTAATCCAGGAGGGAGTTTCTAATTTAAGCATTAATTTATCAAATACATATACAATATTCAAACACTTAAACATTAATAGTACAAAGAAAACATAAATTTGATCAACTATGTAAATCTATACTAATTCATTTTCATGCCCCTTCAAAACCTTTTTTTAAAACCATATTCTATATTAGTTTTTATCATGAATATCAAGATTGAAAGCGAAGAATTTCAAGACATTCAACAGCAACAACAAAGACAACCTCTTTTGGAAGATGAATCAAAGGCTACAAAAGAACCGAAAACTCGAACCCAAAAGGCCATCAGAAAGACATTCAAAGGCACATCCCGCTTATCTAGCCTCCTTCCCTCAGGATCAGTCCTCATATTTGAGATATTTTCTCCCACTATAACAAATCAAGGCCAATGTGAAACGTTACAAGCACAACTCTTAGCAATATGTTTCATAACGCTCCTTGGTTTAACATGTATTATCATGTCTTTCACAGATAGTGTGAGAGATGAACGAGGCAAAATTCGTTATGGATTCGCAACGTTTAAAGGTTTATGGATTGTTGATGGTATTCTAACTCTTAGCCCTGAACAAGGATCCAAGTATCGAATTCGTGTTCTTGATTTTGTTCATGCATTGATGGGGATACTAGTATTTATGGTCGTTGTTTTGTTGGATCAAAATGTTGTCAAGTGTTTGTTTCCATTACCATCTGAAGAAACTAACGCAAGACTTGTTATGTTTCCTATTGTGGTTGGAGTTGTTTGTGGTTTTCTGTTTGTTTGCTTCCCTAGCACTCGCAATACAATTGTAACTCCTCTTACTAAAAGCTAGAAATAGATTTTTTTTTTTTTTTTTTTTTTTTTTTTTTTTTTTTTTTGTTTCAGATTAGGGGCAAGCCCTGTGAGGAAAAAAAAAATTATGATGATTTTAATGTGCAATAATATTCAATTATAATACGTAGTATGATATTATGATGTTTGGTGACTTTGTGTAATGTTCATTTCTTTATTGATGTTATTGTCTACAGAAAATAATTAGGAGTACCTCTTATGTGTAAGTATAGTAGTATACAGAGAATAATTGTTTTTATCATACTCCGTATTTGCATATGTACATACTGCGTTATATATACATAGTAGTAGTACTCCGTATTATTTACAAAACTATAGTTTTCCATAATTCACACAATGTGCATATGTAAGCAACTAATCTTGTAAATTGCTATAACAATTACTTCAATTGAAATCTTTTTATGAGACAAAAAAGTCAAGGTGAAAAGAACTTCGGAGTAAAGAATTTCAACGATTAAAAAAAGTTATCCCTTGAGAATTTATTTCCTTCATATTTTTATGTACTCTTGTAATCATGTTCCATATTTGAATTATCATCAGTTGAATTTCACTATTTTTCAAGAATATAACCATTTGAAGTATAGTACTCGATTGAGTCTATCTGACATATTGTATTTGGCTTTTACTCCATCAAATATCACAAAACTTGTGAATCAAATAAGTAGCACAAATTCCCCTCAAATAAAAAAATAAGTAGCACAAATTGTTCTAAATTTCACTCTAGATTTTAAATTTGAACATGACAATATCGCTGTCAACCATCATACTTGCCCATGGTACGGAGTATATTTAAAATAATGGAAGGGGCAAGCCCACATGTCAGTCATGCCATAATACGTCATGTCAGATTGTGAATCAATAACCATTATTATTATTTGTTTAGCAAATTGCACCTCTGCTAGGGCCAGCGCCAATCAAGACAACAGAAGCCGGGCAAGTGCCTTTGCAAATAAATAACGACACAAGGGAAGCTTAACCATCACAGGCCACAGGCCGGTACCAATCAACACAAGGGCAGCCAGCTCAGGTGTCCTTGTAATAACTACCCAAAATACAAAGCTGGTAAAAATTGCAAACAATAAGAGAGCACGGCAGATGTGCAGAAAACCTCAAGCTGGAATGGAAGGAAATTGGACAACAGCACCAAACAATAAGAGAACCAAGACACAGCAGGAAACACGGGCAAACAGTAGAACAGACATCTTTACATTAGACAAATACCAGAATTAAGCAAACCTTCCATCATTACATCATAATATAGACCATTATTGTCAAAGACATTAACATCCGTCTCATATTCCATGTGCTGCTCTGCATGACACAGAAACAGAAGCACTGCCCACACAAATATATCCTAACAACCAGAGTTATTATAACACACTACTACACACATGTACGCCAGTCACCAGAATTATTAAAATTATGGTTTCCACAATGTCGCTACCATAGAACCGTGACACAGAACAGGCACAAGAACAAGTACAGATCTAAGATCGCCGTTACTCAGAAACCATGTATTTTGATGTGTTCCTTCTTCACAATTCCAGCCTGTAAACAAACAAAAGTTAAAAGAACCCAAGTTAGGAAATCTATACCACCACTTAACCCTAAGATGTGACAAAATAATAATTGCACAATCAACTGTACCTGAACAAGGAAGGTAGACACATTCTTTCGTTGATCACCTTGCAGTTGGATAACCTGGCCTAGTTCTGGGTCCTGAACCACAGTACCATTACAGCAAAACTCCTTCTTAAGGTCCTTGAGAATCTTGTTGTAGCTGAAATCTTTCTTCAATCCTTGCACTGTTGTCAGGCTCTTTCTACCATTCCTCTGTTGTACACGGATGTGCACATAATCTTTTGACCCAGCACCAGAGTTCTCAGCATTTGCATCAGCAAAAGGATCTAAAGACCAACATAGACCAAAATTAGTCAACAATGGAGGCATATGCATATGCAATACACAGAACATAGAGTGCATACTCCTAAAAACATTTTCCACCTAATCAGACTAATATCAAAACCAAACATTCAAAAATAATTAGACTACTTACCAAAAGCAGCAGGAATCTGAACGTCGATATCAGACATGAAAACTAGGCTTGTGATTAAGGATCTGCGAACCGGAGAGTTGATGTGGATATAAAATGCTCAGACCTGCAATCCAGCGAACACAGGGAAAAATTAATTAAGAAAGCCAATATGTGATACTAGTCCAGAACAGATCCATATAATTTAAGGAAAAAATTACACCAATTGCAACACAAATAAGAAAACAGGGAATGAAATGGTTCACCAGAGAGAATATAAAATAGCATCAGCCATCAGTATAGACCACATCTTTCTCACACACACACACACTAACCACATGAAAGTGAAACAAGTTCATTTTATTGTTATAAAATGATTTATTTTGATTAACACTACTTAAAAATGACAAGAAAATTGAAGTCTTGAAACTTCATAGAATATATAAGGTACTTAATTCCCAAACAAACAACTGCTGCATCATTAAAACCTTAATGACATGGTTACATTTAGCGATCCAAAGTTATAATATAGAGCGATAAAATCAGGCAATTAACCTTGCTCATACTACAAAACTACTGCAACAAAATGGCAAACAATAATAAGATTCAATCCTGTAACCAACTCTGAAACTATGATACGCTCTAAAAAACACAGACGGCACACTAAAGGCCCCCAAACACAAAAATTGCAAGTATAGACCAGCTACAATCAGGTTCAGCCTCCCTCTGAACATTTGGATTCCCATTTTTGTTAGCACAAAGGCCAACTATAAGGCTGTCGACAGCCACCGGCAATCTCGATAAAAAGTAAGGTCAATTCACCAACAAACAAAAATCACATGTAGGATAATCCCCTCACTCATACTGCAGAAACTAAAACAGTCAAGCGGCCAAGGAGTCCATTAATATTTATTGTATGCCCATCGCACAAGGTGCGCCACGAATTAAAACCTCTCTCGTGGAATACCACGCCACCCCTCACTAAAGAGGGAAGCGCTCGGCCTAGGGCAAATTAAAACTATCCCACACCCCCACCCAGTTTCCTACCCCTCTATGGCTCTTCCCATCTACCATAACCACAAATGATTAAAAACAGCTAAACATTCATAATTACAAACATACAGGTATACAAACAAGCTTGATAATAATTTTTGTGCAAAGAACATACTTGCCAAGCAATTCGCCACAAATGAGTATTAATCAACAAATGGGGTCAAATCTTATTACCAAATAGCTTCTGTGCCATCGTAAAAGCTAATTTTAACCCTTAAACCATGAATTAACGGATGAATTTGAAAATTACAATTAAATAACACAAATTTCAATCAATCTACAACAAAATGAACAAGATCTACCAGCATACAATCAATCATACAAGATAAACATCAAAAGAAATGACATCCATGATTTAAAACCCTAATCTTTCAAACTCAAAAGTCAAAAACAACCGACCAACTCTACAATTAAAAACATTCACAACATATCTACAAAACAGCATAAAAAAATCAATCGAAACCCAGAAAAACCAATCAAATCTCAAATTAGAAAACCAAAAAAATCAACAAAATACCTCGTCACAGAATCAAATTCAACGGGAAGAAATGAAAACAAAGCAAAAAGAATCGAAGAGAACAACAAAAACTAAAAATAAAAGAATTAAGCTAAAGAAAGAAAAGAAAGATCTGAGGAGAGAGAGAGTACCTGATCCGATAAAAGAGGGAACAAGAAGTATGAACCCTAGATCGGATAAGTCTGAGCAAAGTTAAGGAGAGAGAAATTGGGGATTTAATAAACCGACAATGTTTATGGAAATGTGATTCGATGATGAGTTGATATGGAGTGGTGTTTATGGGGGGTTAGGTCGGTTTTTGCACGACTCTCTTGAATGCGATGGATTGAGAGAGAAAAAAAAAATGAGCCCTTTAATTTAAGCCCATCTTATTAATGGGTCAATTTTTTGGGTATCATAAAAACCAATTCTTGATAATTTGATATATATTGTTTGTGTGTTGTATATTGATGAGGTACACTTCTAGGGTATTAGCCCAATAGGTGTTCTTGGGGTCACCTTAACACATGGCGGGTTTTGAGTTTTCGAGTGAATTTAAGAAATAGGTAGAAAGTGAAGGCAAAGAGAAATAGTTGAAAAGAGGGAGGAAGTGATATACGGATATGTGATGGGTTGATTGGGTGTTGAAGTTATATGTTTTACGTATCGATGTTAGTTGATGATAGAGAGTGAAACCAATTATGTGGTTCAACCATCAGCTTGAATTTTTTTGTTGATTTGATCTTTTAACTTGAAATAAGAGTTAATGTTACAAAAAAAAATCGTTGGTTCAAATCTCGTCCATCTCACCACTTGTGTGGAGTATTAAGTGTTAGGAATGGGTTAGGCCCTTGCTAAGGTTCTATATGTATATGTCCTTGCATGAAGCACAAACAATTTATAATGTGAATTTCAAGATATTTAATCTTAAGTTCTCAATCTACTCAAAAAGATGGTTTGGTTGTGTGTGAAAACAACTAAAAAGTGAAGCTGTGTGTGAATTTATAACGTGAATTTCTCGATATAATGTGAATTTCATTTCAAGCAGCTTATCCTTTCAAGATATTTATAATGTAATACTCAACCAAACCAATGATTCAATTTTGTGTGTCAAAAACTACTGAAAAGTGTTTTAAAAAAACATACAAAACAATGGTGCAATTAATATGCAACTTTCCAAAAAAAAAAAAGTAGTGGTGCAATTTTAAAAAGGAAGAATAGGTGTGTAGAACTCTCTATTATATTAGAAATTTTCTAGAATAGAAAGATTTTAGCAATAGAGAGACTTGGATGCTTATAAATAAGTTATCCCAAACTCCTATTCATTTATGCAAGCCAACTAACTCATTCAAAAACTTTGCCCTATGTTTAAATTGACCTAACCATTCTTTCTTGCTATGTTATTTAACCTTTATCATAACTCACTTAGCTTAACAGAGTACTTAGAGCTTTGACTAGATGTCCAATGATTGCTAACGAGTATTAGGCCTTATGAATATACTAGAAAAAGTTATGACCTATGGAATACAATAATGCTTTTTAAACGGGTATTACAACTTACAAAAAACACACAATTATATGGAAATTAGTAAGTGAAACAAATAATCAAACTACAAATATCATCATCATATAATATTTTCATGGCACAAAATTTTATAAAGATTTTGCATTCATTGTTTTATTCAAATAAAACATAAAATATATACCTAATAATACAATCTCGAGCGAAATGCAATGCATTTTTGTTCTCAACTAAAATTATGTAACCCACTTTTGCAATGTTTAGTAAAAAATAAAGTTGCGGATTAGCTGGCCAATTTTGGGTCGAAGCGTCTCAACCTCTAACTTTCTTCTCGACGGTCCCGAACGATCTTGAGACCGTTTTATTGGAGGATTTGGGGTGCTTCTCGTCCAAGGATGGTGCCTGGAAAGACTTAGCTATGAGTAGCATAGTTAGTGTCTTAGTTTTAGCTTGCTGTTTGTTTTCGTTTTTCTACTTTTTTATTTTCTGTTTGTATTGCTTTTGTTTTCTTGTTCTTGGCTTGGTACACTTTCTCACAAAAAAAAAATAAAAAAAAAAACAAATCTTATTGAAGAATTCATTATGTCATTCGCTTGGTGTTTGTAATTGAATATTTCTACTCTGTTCTACTTATATGAAATGAAGTATATATTTTTAAAACGTATCATGAGATATTTTAATTATGTATGTAGTATAATAATATAAATACGAAGTATACAATGAAACAATTATGAGGTGTAATAAATTGTACTTGAATTAAGTAAAATATACCTCATATTATGAACCGGGTGGGTATAAAATTAAAAGTAAGAAAAATATGCCTTTATATTATTTTATTGCATGACTATAAGGTAGCTAACATAAGTATTACTATTTATTAAGTTATAAAAAAAAACAAAAAAAAAAAAAAACCTATCCTCCATTTTCGATTAAATACAACAATTTGACAGACATATATAACTCTGATCATTACATTAATGTCTCTACTTACATATTAATAAAAGGCAAAATCTTATGAATGACTCAAGTGTTGGATAGGATAACTAAAACTAGAATATTGATTAATTATAATGAATATTAATTACACTGGTTGATGCGTGATTTTGGCATGCATTCTTTAATTAATTCTACTTTAGATTATATTTTAAATGTCTATCTATTCCTTTGTGGCGTTCGTTAGCAACAATAGAATTATGAAACTTTGAATAAAGATGGTTGTTGGTCATGCAAAACTGAGCGTCGTGCCGAATCCATGTGCTTTAGGGTTATCTAGGATTCGAGTCAATTTTTTTAAAAGGTCGGACCATGCACGGTCCAAGCCCACATTCCATCATGTGCCGTGACGGTAAGACTAGACCTTATTGTAACACCCTAGAAATTCTTATCCTTAAAAATACCTATTTTGCTCTTTTTAAAATCAAAATATGAAAATCTAAGACAATACCGCCACCGTGAAAACGGCTAAGGCAATTATCAAAGACACACAGCGGAAGATTATCTTTAAAAACATTCAAAACAAGTCAACTTTAAAAGTCAACCAAACGAAAATAAACTCAAACCAAAATAAAACGAAGTCAACGTTGATAGGACGTCGTCAACCTATCAAGAAATAAGACCTAACTCGATCCTACTCAACTAGTAGCAAGGGCAAGAAAGGGCCGAACCCATGAGAGGCGTTGAATCAACCACCAAATGTTATTGTTTAAACAAGCTAGATTAAGTCGGGGGTTTTAAGTTGGTATTACGTCACACTATTCTAATTCAAATCAACTAATTCTAAGAGGTGATTAACAATATTAAGAAGGCCTAGGGCATGGGTTCACCACTAAACTTCATCACGGACCACAAGTAGCATGCATAGAAATGGTGATTTAGGGGATAAATTAGGGGAAGTTATCAAATGCACCCAACTACTCTCTCAAGCTAGAGGGATTACTTGACATCAAAACCATAACCTACTCTCGTGATTATGGGCAAGAAACAAGTGTTAAAACATCCTCACGATAACATGCAAATTCCCTTGACTAGAAATTCCTATTCTCATGGCAAATCAAGTCAATCAAGCATAAGGGAGCTTCCTCAAGTTCATCTCTCGATCCTTCGTTGAGGAAACTAGATAAATAATTCAAGCAATGGCCAATTACAAGAATTAACAATGAAACCTCTTAAACTCAACTAATTAACACCCCACAATTAACAAATTAGTTCATGCAACAAGTGTTGGTGATTACATTGAGGGTTCACCCAAACCCTAGAAATTAGACTACTCACAATCCATGGAGGTTAAAGCAATTAAAGATTTCAAGGAATTCATGAACAAATTAAAACTAAGAATTAAGTAGAATCTAACAATTAAACATGCAAAGAACAACCAAACAATTAATAAAAAGCAAGAATTAAAGATAGAAGAGAGAAAGAAAGAGTAAGAAAAATTACTAGAAGCTTCAATAATTGACTAACAATGGTGGAACTTGTCTTCTACAATGATTGGATTGAAAAAACTTCAAAACAAGAACTAAAATCTATGCTAATTTGAGGATTTTTGTGTTTCAAACTAAGAGGAGTATGAAAATCTGGAAAAATTGGGAACCCCTCTAAAATGGTCCAAAGGGGCTATTTATATTACCCCCTCAAATAAGAGGACGGTGAAAACAAGAAACGGGTAAACTGTAGGTCTGCACGGACGTGCTGAAGTTGGCACGTCCGTGCAGACCAAGGCAGAAACTCAGTTTTAAGACGACCTGCTGCAGCACGGGCGTGCACCTTTGGCACGTCCGTGCTGCATCATATGCACGGACGTGCAATATTTGGCACGTCCGTGCAGGCCTTGGCAGAAAGATGGCTTCAGGTCTGCACTCCTGCACGGACGTGCAACATCTTGCACGGCCGTGCTGCCTCATAATCACGGAAGCACGTCCGTGCTGCATCATCTGCACGGACGTGCAATATTTGGCACGTCCGTGCAGGCCTTGGCAGAAAGATGGCTTCAGGTCTGCACTCCTGCACGGACGTGCAACATCTTGCACGGCCGTGCAGGGTCTTCTGGGCCCTTTTCTTCATGTTTTCTTCTACGATGCTCTTGTACTTGGATTCTTTCCATCATTTCCTTGCTTCTAACCTCGGTTTGGTAACCATGGGCTTCATTTGGTCGTCTTTGGACCTAAAATCTCAACAAAAACACTAACAACCCGTGAAGCATAGGATACACAAAAATTGCATAATAATAGGGTAAAAGTGAACCAAAACACAAATTTGTTCAGGTAAACTAGGTTCAAATACGCCCTAAAACCGCATAAAATAGCAAGTTATCAAACGTACAACTTAGAACCATTGTAGGCCCTTATTAAAAATCAAACAACTTAAAACCTTTGCGTTAGTATCACAAGCATAAAATAAAATAATCAAAGCAATAAATCACATCATAATCTTATGGAAATTAAAGTAAGCATGATTCGCTCTTCACTCATGCCACCATGAATATGTTTCATCACCTGATGAAAAGCTCCTCTCTACTTGTCCCCACTACTCTCCATTTAAAATGGGTCATCGTAGGGCCAAAGTAAATACAAGCTAAACAAACATACAACACACAATCAACAATGTCGAGTACCACGGGCGGAATCAGGGGGGCTGGGGTAGGCCATGGCCACCTCCTTGATTCAGTATAAGAATAATTTTTTACATTCACTTCTTTGCTTCAGAGCTCAATTGGTTAAGTAAATGAGTTAAGAAATCCGCACATCTAGAGTTCGATTCTTGGTGCTGCATTATTTTTAGCCCTTACATTATTTCTAGTGGGGCTTGCTACATCTTGGGAATCTAATTATTTTTTTTGCTTGAAAAAAAGATCCCATTGTACATACAGTACAGTAGTAATATTCAATACAAATACTAGGTTTTTTTTTTTTTTTTTAACGTATCATTTTATATTATTTAATTCGTAAGCTATATGACTAGCTGGTAGAATAGTAGTATGAAGAAATTATACAATTTTCCATTTCTCGTTGGATCATAAACAACCATTTCATATTTGATCTTGATTGGCCCCCCTAATATAAGATTTCTGGCATAAAACACACTAACATTCTTCCACCCTATCATCATACAATTTTTCTTGTTGCAGTTGTTTTCAAGCACACAACATACAACAAGACCCTCAAATAAATAACTAATTTATTCATTTAGCATTGATTACGCATCGAACGGGTTTTCCCCCTAACTGTCCCCAATAAAAGGGTACTAACACGAGAGCTAACCGTGCCAGTATAAAAGAACCACTTGTAAGTGGCGGAATTCTTGCGCATAATAATAAAAAGGAATATACAGCATCCTGTACTCCTAGTAGAAGTTCTGGTTAAATATAAAACCCCATATAACTCCCCCATATGTCCATACTCAAGGTATATATGTTCCAAGAGTTTTGGTGCGTAATCTCTTTCACTTTACGTTGTTTACATATTAATAGACTAGGTGATGACTCTCAAACCATAACACAATCAACCATGATAATTATTCAAACAATTTAACATACCAATTTAATTCTTGAATAATTAATGACCACATGATATTTAATGTTGAACCATTTTTAAATCTACCTCGGTGTCAAAGACACTTTAAACGCATAATGTGCCACAATTCCTATCCTTCGGTGTTAGAAACACCTTAAGTGCACTAAGGCATCAATATATAATTTATTCCTTGTGTACATAGACACTTAAATAGCTCTTTCCTCATGATTATAACATCAATAAAAATTATATGAACCGTAATAAAATGATTTTTTTTTACTTTTACAACACACAAAAAATCGCAAAATTTTTTTTTACTATTAAAAATTTTATTTTACCACCAAAAAAAAATTTATTTTTTTTACCACCTGCCGTAAAAAAACCTAACAGAATATTCTAAATTCTTCGATTTTCGTGCCAAACACATCATCTTTAGGGATTTTGGGGGCATTTTGGTCCTTTGGATCCAATTTAAGGTCATAATTGACAAAAATGATCGGAAATGCTTCTTTTTGCGCATAGACCTTGGTTTGTGTGAAACACGCAAAACGAGGTTTTTCGATCATTTTTTTGTCCATTTTGACTTCAAAATGGAACCGTAGAACCAAAATGCCCCCAAAAACCTATGAACAACATATTTTGCACGATAATCGATTTTTTAAAACGTTAAATTTAACGGTTTTCTTGACTACTAGTAAAAAACAATGTTTAGAAATGTTTTGGTGGTAAAATGAAATTTTTAAAATTTTTGATAGTAAAAAACAAATTTGTGATTTTTTTTTGTGGTAAAAGTAAAAAAAATCCCAATAAAATTCCTTTTTAATATTCCAAACCAAATTAAATATTTTATTTAATTAAACATGTTCACTATCATGCCAATAATAAAAGTGTGGTTCATATATAACATGCCAAAATAATTATTTCCAATGTTTAATCCATCACAAATATTCCATGTTTTATAATTCAATCACCAACATCAACCAAAATAATAAATTCCAATTAAAATCTATCATGATACTATTTGGAATTAATTATTCAAAGCTTAGCATGTTCCTACATCATCAATTAAATACCAAGTACGCGAACTAAATATTATCTTAAAATCGCGACGACTATACGAAATCACTCACATGGAAATCTCCTACAATCCAAAATCATAAAGAGGTATTAATATCTACTCCACACAAATTTCCAGCAATATATGCAGTCCTTAAATCACTTATAAATTATTTAAAACAAGCTGAAAATTAATTTTAAACCCCTGACTTTAATCCCAATCTATCTATAACTATAAGTAAAGTAGAAACCGCTGACATCACCGCTATCTATGTGTCAGCTTTTTTATTAAAAAAAAAATCCCTCCAAAACTATAAGTGACATAATCCTTTTTAAGTTTTTTTTTTCAAGATAAAGCTAAATTAATTACACATTTTCATAAAAACTTAATTTTTTTTTACTAAATTTAACAACACAATTTTCTTATACAGAAAAAATTACTACATATACGTAATTGGTGGTAGCTCTTTCATTTTTCCTTTTTTCCTCCTATATTAACCACTAAATACTAATGCTATCATTTTTTTTAATTCTATTCTAATTATGAATTTAATTAGCATATTTAACACCATGTCTTCTACGGAGTAATATATATGATCAAATATTTTATTGCTAAAACTGTGCATAGCACGGGACTAACCTAGTTAATGTGTAATCAAAGATCCCTTCAAGAAACTTAATTATGGCTTACTAATAAAATTTAGAGCTTTGTTAAATCATTAAACCTTGCTATAAATATGTTTTAAACACCCAAATCAAAGATTTAAACCACCCATAATCAAATTCCATCATCATACAATAATTTAGAAACCTAGGCTTTTTAATTTGGGGCTTTTTTAATTCAAAAACAAATCTAAAAATTAATTCGCATAATGTTTATAATCAAATATCATGAATATCATCACAAAACCCATAATTAATAATTAGATTAAGGATTAAAGCAACAAGAAAGTTTTTATTTCGGTAGCCACACGCAACAACAACCACGCACGCCACGACACGCGACTGGGTTGTTGTCGTGCTCGCTAGTGTTGTTGCGACTGCTGGCATGTGCGCTGGTGGCTGTGGTGGTCGACCGGCAGTGCGTGGTGGTGGTGCCGGCCGTGTGTTACACAAAAAAAGGGAAGGGGAATTAAAAAAGAAAAATAAGAGAGAAGGGAGATAGAAAATTACCTTTGGGTATTCTCCACTCTAGGCAGAATTCAATTTTGCCATGTGTTGAATATTTATACCTCTTTTCTCTAGAATTTCCCTTAAACTTAAATTCCGTTCCTAATCCCTTTCCTATTCAAACTTGTTTTTGACTTTGACTTTAAAAATTTCCTTTTATAAAACCACATGCCCTAAACTATAATTTGAATAATAAAATAAAGTATTTCCAAAATTATTAAATAAATAATTAAAATGCCATAAATAATTCATTTTGAATTATTTAAATACTTTACAAAATACTTAATTAAATTAAAATACATATAAAAATATGGGGTATTACACTTATCATGTTTATTCTAAAAAGGGTAGGCTAGATCCGCAATTGTTAATGGCTGAGGTCGACCTCAGCTAGTGCTGGTTGAGGTCGCTGCCAAAATGAACATTTACTATAGTAAAAATGAACATATCTAACTGGACATATTTTACAATAATTTTGTATTCCACAATAATCACATGTTCATTTTCATGCAGTATGATGTTCATTTTTATAAAATATAATGTTCATTTTCATGTCGTATGGTAATCATTCTTATAAAAGTAAATGTTCAGTCGTATAAAATGTTTGTTTTTGTAATAAAGGATAATGTTCAATTAACATAAGCATTTTGTTTATTATTAAAAAAACATATTGTTGATTTATTTAAGGAATGTGGGTCTTTTATTTTTCTCTTCCACAATAATCTCAGGGTCTTTTATTTTTCTCCTCCACAATAATCTCAGTTCAATTAACATAAGCATTTTGTTTATTATTAAAAAACATGAATTTCAATGTATAGTTAAAAATAACCTAAACGACTACTCCGTAAGAAGACTAAAAGAACTAATCATTAGTTATCAAGTTATCAGCTCTTAGCATTAAAATAAAAAAATGAACACAAAAAAAAACATTAATTAATTACCACCAACCCTCCAACGCTTTAGCTTTTGAATTTTTTTTCCCCACAAATTCCAAAAGTAACGATATACGAAGTATTAAACCCACCTAGGCTAAAAAAATAATTTTATAATTTCTATTTAAACCACAACATCAACCCCAATTACAATCAAACCAAAATATTCCACCAAAGAATGGGCACTTCAAATCACTACCAATCTCTTATCAACCATCCCAAAACAACCCAAAAAACAAGCCACATAAAACTCTTCATCTTCCTCTCAATCACCTTAATCTCATTATACCTTTGTTTCCTCACAATCTCATTTACTAATAACCACTCGTCAATTTGCAATAAATCCCATGACCGCGACTATTGTCTAGAGTTAATCACTGAGGCAATCTCTAACAAATCCTTGCAATGGACGTTATCATCCACCAGCACGGATGTGTCCGTGCTGGTGGACATGTTACTAGCACATGTATCGCATATTAACAAGGCTATCGGTACTACTAGAGGTATCAATGTTGTAACGGGTGGTCAGGTTGTACAAGATTGCTTAGAGCTTATGGACTTGTCACGTGATCGGGTTACTAATTCTATCCAAGTATTGGTTAATTCTAACAAATTAAGAAAAACTAATACTAATGATGTTAATACGTGGTTAAGTGCCGTGTTAACTAATTATGTTACATGCTTGGACCAACTCCAAGATTATTCACATTTATTAGAGCTAAAGTCTATAATAGAGAAATTAATCTCAAGTTCAAGGATAATATTGGCAATCCAAGCTAATGTTTTAGGAGATACAAGTAATTCTTATGCTAGCAAGGAGATTCTACTAGGAAGTGGTACTAGGAGGATGTACCCTTCATGGGTTAGGAGGAGTGATAGTAAACTCCTTAGAGTTTCGGGGAGCGAAATCAAGGCGAATGTGGTGGTGGCGAAAGATGGGAGTGGGAACTTTACGACGGTGGCAGAGGTGGTGGCGAGTGCTCCGGATAAGGGGAAGAAGCGGTACGTGATATATGTGAAGGAAGGGGTGTATGAAGAGATTGTTGAAGTAGGGAAGAAGAAGAAGAATGTTATGATTGTTGGGGATGGCATGAACTTAACTGTCATTAGTGGGAGTCTTAATGTTGTTGATGGCAATACCACTTTTAGATCAGCTACTTTGGGTAAGATCAATACCACTTTTACTTTAATTATATTTCAAATATTTTGGACTTTGTTTAATATTATCACTTAAGTCACTTGTTCAACTCTTAAGTTGATCGATTTTATTAGGAATTTAGGATATAAGGACAAATATGTCGTTATTATATATGGTGTCAGGACTCCCTAATAATCAAAGTTAAAGTCACAAACACCTAAATAGGTTTATCAAATGTGTCAAATTTATGTTTGTGTAATTTTCTTGGCATTACAAGAAAAGTATTAGTTTGCTCAATGCAATGTATGCTTATACAATACAAGAGATAATAGATTATCCTCGAAACATGCATATTTAATATTAGATTTTTTTAAGTGAGCTTTACTTTACTCTTTTCACGAATTTCAGGGGAATAAATACTCATATTTGATGCTTTTTTCATACTTTAATTTGATAAACTACCACTTTTTATCATGACATGGTGTCCATTGTAGGCATTTTATTATTCCAAGCACCCCTGTTTGAAGTATAGGATAGAACTACTTTATTTTCTTTAATCGTCGGGTAATTATTCTCATTATCGTGAGACTTAGATGCTAATCATGCTATAGCATGCTTAATTGGGACAAGTGGGAGTGGTAGAAAGGGCATTTGATTGTAATTTAACAGAATAAAGGGGCATCCACTTTGTTTAAAATTAAAGGATGCATAATACATTATTAAACTATGAATACATACACTTTGCTCCAACAAAAAAAAAAAAGAAAGAAAATGTGTACGAGAAAATAAACTGATGTTTAGGCCGCTCTATATGATTAAATTTAGACCTTAATTAAAAAAGAAAAAAATCTTACTTTGTTGATACATTGTACAATAATAGAATGAGTATTTCCTCACATTTCTTTAATCCTTATCCCTTATAATTATTAGCCTTTACCATATTTTCAAATGGCTGTCTCCTCATCCTATAAACTATTCACTAATGTCTTTATTGACATTGATTGGTTTTAGACATCTTTTAATTACGATGAAGACTTGCCAACCTTAAAATATATGAAAACATTAAAAAGTTTTAATACAAATAATTGTTATGATAACATATTTACATGCTTTATACTATGCATAATTAAGATATTTATAGCGTTTTAGTCCTTATATATAGGCAACATGATGATTTATGTGAACAAATTGTGGTGTAGCTAATAATTTGGAGCTAACTTTCCACTTCCTCAACCTTATGTTTGTTCATTGAACTATTTGATGAAATGAATATTATATACAAAGGGCCCGTTCACATTTACTTAATTTCAGTTCAGTTCAGTTCAGCTTCAATCAGTTCAGTTCAGTTCAGCTCCTAATTTCCTTCTCTCATAAAATATTCATTTTACCTCATTTCAGTTTAGTTCAATTCAGCTCAATTCAATAAATGTGAACAGACCCTAACACATGTAAATTCCAATTGATTTGTCTCACATTTATATAATGGTCAATTGCAGCTGCCGTTGGTGATGGATTTATACTCCAAGACATATGCATCCGAAACACTGCCGGGCCAGAGAAGCACCAAGCAGTCGCCCTTCGCGTTGGAGCCGATCAATCGGTCATAAACCGATGCAAAATCGAAGCCTACCAAGACACGCTCTATGCACACTCCCTTAGACAATTCTACACGTACTCTTATATTTCAGGCACGGTAGACTTCATATTTGGTAACGCGGCTGTTGTGCTCCAAAATTGTGAGTTAGTCGCACGACTACCTATGGCATCCCAAAAAAACATGGTCACTGCCCAAGGAAGGACTGATCCATTCCAAAACACGGGCACTTCGATTCAATATTGTGACATTGTAGCTAGCTCGGACCTAGCACCGGTCAAAGCCAAGTTCCCAACCTTCTTGGGTCGACCTTGGAAGAACTTTTCTAGGACTGTTGTTATGCAATCGAACATTAGTGATCATATTGATCCTAGGGGTTGGTTCGAGTGGGACGGAGATTTTGCATTGGACACATTGTATTATGCTGAGTACATGAACTATGGTTTGGGTGCTGATACAAGTAAGAGAGTTAATTGGACTGGTTATAATGTTATTACTGACCCAAAAGAGGCAAGGAATTTTACTGTTGGGGTGTTTATTCAAGGACAAGAGTGGTTGGATGAAGCTGGTGTTACTTATGTTGAGGGGTTGTGAATGGAAAAGGCAACATATGATGTTGAACACATGCATTTTATCATCTCGATCTAGAATAAATTACATTCTAGTTTTGTAGATGTACTATATTATATTGAACTAGTAATGTCACAACTAAATAAAGAATGAGATAATATTTTAATAGCATTAGTACGAAATAAGTTTTGGTTGAGATGTTATGTATGCTTGTTGTAGTGTACCGTGTGGCCACCACTCGCTAGTTGATTTACTAGGGGTGTTGCTGAATGACTAGTTCTTCATGTTATGATGTATTGTATCTGTACTTCTATCACTTATGTGAGAGCTAGCTTGTATTGTTGTGTAGTAGAAGTTGTTTATTCCTTTTTCACTTTCCACTCAATTTTGTCTCCAACTTTTATTGCATCGTTGAATTGATTTGATGAAGTAACAATAAATGAAATGAAATAGAACAATTAGCTTACCGCTGAGTAAACTATTATATTGATAAAGAATAGTTCTATCAAGCCAAAATCTCGTATGATTTGACCTTAAAGTCAGTAGGCTAGATACTCTAAAAGTCATGAGGAGAAAAGATAAGGGAACCATATTCTCAAAATGCTCCTAATAGAAATTGGACCCAATCTCATATTGAAAGTGTAGTTTTTACCAATAAATCAAGCTTAGTTTGACAATAATCTAAACTTAATATTTTTTTTAAAATTTATTTATTTATTTATTTTTAATTGACTCACAATAGAATTGAAGGTGATTAACAAATGCGTATATCAAAGAGTCCCAAAGCCTAACATCCTACTTCTTATTATAAATTTAGGGAACAAAGATTAAAGAGGACTAGCTTGAGTGGTTAGCCTTTTTTTTTTTTTTTTTTTACAAAAGTATTTGTGTGTTGAATTATTTTGATTACAAAGTACCACAAAAATATTAGCTGTTAGGTTTGAACTCTTGACCTCTTGGCCACAATCACATGGTAAAAACCAACTCATCTACACTACAACCTACAACAAGTATAAGCAAAATTTAATATTTATCTTGAGCCAAGGGAAAGGCCATGGCCCTCCCTAGCCCCCTTTGGCTCCGCCCCTGAATTGGCTGGTTGACTTTTATTTGTTTAAAAATATGTTTGGTAAAATTAGTTGTTGGATTTCATTATCAACTTAAGTAAGTGAAAAACAACTCTAAACATCTTATTATTTCGGCTTAAAACCCAGCTTTTAGGCTAAAGCCAAAAGTCAATGAAAAACTATAATTTTGTTACTCTGTATTAATCTAATAATCTGGGATTAGTTCGGGTCATTTTGACTATCAAGTCAATATCAACGGAATTCGGATCAAGTTTTTTTTTTAGTCTTGGTTTGGGTAAATCAGTTCGGGTAATCGGTTTGGATCAACTATGCCAAGCCTAGCAAGTAGCAACCCAACAATTGCTCCCAACGTCGTTTTGCTTGATGCCTTTCACGGACCTCAACCGTCTGAAAAATACTGCTCAAGCACATAAGCTCGACACTTTGAAGAAAACGGCTTTGACTCTCAAATTGGTAATTCGATCACTCAATTTTTCCAGTTCTCAATCCAATTCCAGGTAATTCCTATTGAATTTCCGATTATTGTCAATTTTCATCATTGCCGAACGATTCAATTCCCCTAATCTATCCGAACAATTCAACAATTGATGACTTAAATCTCGAAAAAATAAGTTAAATCATAAACCCTTTTATATATTGTAATGAATTTGTGATATTTTGCATTGTTTGAGCAAAATATTGAATAATTGTTGATGGGGTGATTGTAATTTTTGTTGGGCAGTTTGTAGAATTGAAAGATGGATGATATTTTGGTAGCTGTGCTTTCGATGCTACTTATATTTGGTTTAGTTCCGTTGTTTTTATGGAAACGTCGTCAGGATTCTAAAGCTGCCGATAGGCATGAAGAAGAGCCTCAGGTAATCAGGTCATTCAATCTCTGAGCCTTTTATTGTATACAACATGTTTAGTCGCCCGAAAAAAAACATGGAAGTTACCTCTTTGCGAGACTGCGAAGTTGATTTTGATATGATTTGGAGTGATTATGTACTATAAAAGTATTTGCAGTTCTAAAATTAGTTGAGGTCTAGCGGGTGTTGGAGAAAGGGGGGGGGGGAATGTTTGTGAAAATAAGATGGTGGATTGCAAATGTTTCAGGTTCCTCAAAGGGAAAATGTGGTTCGCGCTACTGGGGCTCGTCGTATGCGTCGTAGGCCAGCAGCCAGGGCTAGTACATCTACAGCTGCAGCAGCTGTTGAAGGTTGGTTTTCTTCTGATCAAGGTTTATGTGATATGGTTAAACTTTGTATGTTGTTAGACTTGTTATTAATAGGTTATGTGGCCAGTTTTAAGGAATTAGTCTGTTTATATTTATGTAAAGTTTCCATATTGTGCAACAAAAGTTTTCTGTGATTTGCTACTCTATTATTTGTGATTGTAAGTACTTGTGATGGCCTATGTTGTGGTTCATATATGACCTATACGCAGAATTAGGTGATGAGAGTGATGATGAAGATGCTGAGGTTGAGAATGAAGCTCGGGGAGGAAGGAAAAAAGATAAGAAACGACAAGAACGTGAAGCACAAAGACAGGTGACTTACTCCCTCATGTACTATGTATATCAGTATATACTGGTATATATGTCGTGTCTTCAGAATCATTTTCTTATTCTAACATGCTTTCTGTTGTACACATATGACCTTTGTTACCTAACCAATCACATATCATTCGTATGAGCTACAACCTTTGTCTGTTTCTCTATATTGCTGGAATATGATGTTTTCTTACCAACTAAAAATAATGGAGGAATTTTAGGGTTGTGACAATTTTCCTTGATCGCTAGGAATTACTGTAGTATCTGTTGATTATCTGGTATTGTTCAGTTATCTATCAAAATACTGATACATTCATCTCTGCTTTGTTCATTTTTTCTTACTGTTATCTTTCTTGAAGGCTGAACAAGCTTCACGTGACTCAAGGCTAGCCAAGCAAGATCGTTATGCAGAATCGCGAAGAAGAAAAGATGAGGAACGTGAAGCAGAAGAGCGACGAATGGTATGCTTTGCTTTGCTTGAACAATTTGGATTGTTTCTGAGTTGGTTACTTATTGAATAATGTGACTCCACATTTTTTTAGGAAGAGGAAGCTAAGGCTCGGCAAGCTAAGGAAGAAGCTGCCGCTGCATTAGAGTTTGAAAAGTGGAAAGGGGCATTCTCAATTGATGCTGAAGGCACCACAGAAAATGAGGCTCAAGAGAACCAGGATCTACTTTCTGACTTTGTGGAATACATTAAGGTAGGTGCTGTAGGTCTGAGTTCCTAAATAAAATTTTGACTAGTTAATTGCAGTTTGAAGATCCATCTCTCTGAAAATTATTTCTGAATTGGTGCCTTTTTAAGCGTTGTCCATGTTTCCCTTTTTCTGTTTTCTCATTTTTGCAACATTTGATGTCATGGTCTGTTTGTTGCTACACAAATGATTGTCAGTTGATTTGTTTAGTTATCTTAAAACATGTGTTGTAAGAATGCAATCTATTATTAACAGCTATATGCCTGTATTTATACTTTCATTTCATAGCATTATTAATATTATGTTCCTTTTTACAGAAGCAGAAGTGTGTACCCCTGGAAGACCTGGCTGCAGAGTTTAGGTTGAGGACTCAGGTACATCAATCAACTCTCCACTTCTAGGCATATGGAAGAAGGAAAGTAGCAAAAATAGAACACAGCTACTTAACTGAAATGACAAAATTATGAATAGTTTCTTACTCCTTCAGTTACGAGCATAGAGTTGTTAGAACAGTCAAGTATTGTTTGAACACAAGTTAAACCTTTTGTAACCATTTGATTGTCTATATCAATGTTACTTGGATTCGGGTACTTGTGTGGGACACGTGAGGTGTTCAAGTGTTAGAGTCTGCTTTTTTTTTTTTTTTTTTTTTTTTAAAAAAAATTCCTTCTTTCCAGTCCAAAATTAAGTATCCAGTGTCCTTATCCATGTCGGAGTTTTAAGAATTTGACACTGGTTATTGAGGTGAAATAAAGAGTCAAAGTATTACGTTCTATATAGTATATACTATATCTTTCATACATGCATTCCTTGTTTTACTAGGGTATCCATCTGTTATCTAGTTTCGATTTGTTTGTATCTATTGGTATTTAATGTTCAATTTGCTAATGTGCTCACTCAGTCACTTGTGTTCAATACAGGAGTGTATCAATCGTATCACAGCTCTAGAAAATATGGGTACGTCTTAGAATCATTATCTTCTTTTATTTCCGCTTTATATATGGATTTTCTTTGGGATTTGATTAATAGTTTATTAGAATGGAGGCTGAATCATTTTGTATGGTCTTTGGTCCCCCTATTCCCTTCTACCCTGTAATTCATCATGTATGGTCTCTGGTCTTTTGTAGTATTTCATACGAGCCATTTTGTAGTATTTCATCATGTATGGTCTTTGGTCCCCCTACTCCCCTTCTACCCTGCTAGTGCTCTTCTTTAAGCTTTTTATCAGACTTTACTATAGTTTTGTTTGTCAAGATAATATTGGAGTATTGACAGCTGATACTTTTCTTGACTGAGATGATCCTGGCAGTTTCTTGGAGTACTATGCTGCATTTAGTTCAACCCTTCAGGGAAAATATATGATAATTCTGAAATTGTGAATTGTCTGGATTATAGAATTTTATATTTTTTATTTTTTGATAGGCTGGATTATAGAAATTTGAAATACTACTTTGTGGTGCAATTTTCTAAATGAAAAGATTGGTGCTTTGTTGTTTTGGTCTAAAATTGCAGGAAGACTTTCAGGAGTCATGGACGATAGGGGAAAGTACATATATATCTCACTTGAAGAAATGAAAGCTGTTGCTGATTATATAAAGCGAGAAGGCAGGGTTAGCATCTCACATTTGGCGAGCAAATCCAACCAGTTCATTGACTTGGAGCCCAAAGTCCAGTATGAGGAAATCACCAGTGTAGATGAGATTTTAGCTGTTTGATTATGCACTTAGTTTATGGAAAAATCATATTGCCCGACTTACAATGATAGCAGAAGAGCAGCAGGAAATATGAAAGAAAGTACGTTACCAACTTGCTTCGTTTATGTGTTTAGTTTTGCTTGTCTGTAGTTTTTATGTGATTCACATGACACAGGTATGAAACTGGGCTACATTTACACTGGGAAAAAGAAGAGGGAAGGGGAGTGATAGGTTTGAAAAGAAAAGAAAAGGGCTTTAGTTAAAAACAGCCTTACTTTACACTTGAATGTACTATAATACCGCTTGATAAACTTACTGCTTGGCTGCTTGCCCCATCTTCTTTCTTTTAAGTCTTGTTATTACTTATAATCTCTTAGATTTTTTTTTTTTGGGCATAAAAACAAATAAATGAAAGAAGGTAAAAATAAGTGTTTACAGTGTTGATAAAGACCTGAATGAAATTTATGCTTTAGTATCTACCTTTCATTCTGTTCAGTTTGTTCATGTTTTTAGAGAGGCTAATAAGGCAGCACATGTAATGGCTCACCTTGCTCCTCTTGAGTTTTCTACTGGAGTGTGGGTTGGGGAAGGTACTGTATCTATTTCTGATGTAGTTGCAGCAGAGTATTGCTTATCCTTCAATGATAATTAATTGCCTTGTGGCTCTTATCCAAAAAAAAAAGACCTAAATTGAATCTCGTCTAAATCATTTACTCTTTGTTACCTTTTCTACCAACACACTCTCGCACACACACAAATCATCTTCAAGCTTCAAAACTGGTAGGAACACAAGTTTATCATTATGTTACCGATTTTCAAGGTGCTATGAGTTATCTTCTTCCTTTTTTTTTCTAAATTTTTTTTATCCAACAGATATCAAATTACTTTGATTGCGACTTCAAAGTTCTTGAACTCATCCAGCTCAAACATCAACAACTGCTCCACATGTACGACAGACTATGGTTTCAGTTAACAACATACCTTTATACATATGCGCTACCTTAGGAGACTAGGAGAGGGGAGAGATATAAAAGGGACCAGCGTGACGAGGAGAGAAATATTTAGAATCATTGTCCAATAAAGTAATTCTGGCGATTTTCCAGAAAAGAATTCATTGCAATTAATAGAACAGATTTATAGGAAAGATTTCTAGCCAAAACCGCAATTTTGGTTTTATGGGATGAGTTAATTTTGAAACTTGTAATTTTTTCATGCTTAGAAAGAAAGAATTGATAGAGGTGGGAAAACTTATACCTATAGTGATCTGTATTCAAGATGAACTAGTATAAATAATACTTCCTCCGTTATTAAATAGTTGCACCATTCTTCTTTTGAAGGTTAATCGATAATCAGTTTCATCTAGGTACCAACAAGAAGTCATGTAGTACCGATTAAAATGTAGTACTTTGTTGGTTGAATATACTTCGTGTTTATAACTAGCAGTTAAGATAATAATTAACTACTAATTGATACCAAAAAGGGTTACACTAGTCCATTTTAGATGCAAGCAATTACAGCTGCAGCCTGCAGGCGAAAATGTACAAAATCCATCCTGTAAGGCAACAAAAGTAACTAAGAGGAGCAAATTGTAACATAATATATCTACCCTTATTACAAAAATTTCAAGGTGCAATGTGTTTTTCCTCCATTTTTTTTCTGTTGCAATTTTTGTGTTACATGTAGAAATTAAATCAAATTACTTACAAACATTAAAAGAGTTATCAATCTCATTCACCTAAAACATTTACCACTCCACTTAATTACTTGTATGACTTACAGAAATCCAACTTCACAAAACATTTTCCCCTGCATATATATACATATGTATATGCTAGCTTTCTCTTGGTTGAAGTGGATAATGATATTACTCAAACATCGATCAACATACATTTTCGAGTAATTGTTCCAATCCATGAAGTAAATTGAAACCCATCTGAAGTTATCTTACCAAAAACAATGTGATGATGCAAGTGAAGATAAAAGTAATGATAGAATTCTTCGAGTTTATTCGAATGCCTCCACTCTTGGCAGGAATGAAACTAGGCAGTGCACATTCTTCCCCGTTGAAGAGCAGCTTTTTCGGGAACCCGTCGCCTTCAGGGATGTTCAGATGCCAAGTTAGTCTCTTGTTGAAGGAAAGAACAGACTGCTGCTTCCCAGGCACCCTTGGGTCACGAGGCTTAGTCCCATTTGTCTCGGCGATAAGGTAATTCAACCCCTTCAATCCTTGTACAAATATGGTGTTATTTAAGTCCTTTAACAATGTTCCGTTGAAAGAGTAGGCTTTATCGAACCCTTCTGATGCTTTCCCCATCTGAATCCCCACAAACCAATCCTCGAAGGCGTTGCTACCCCAGTTGAAGAGGGTCATACGCGCAGTCCACCCGTTTTTGTAGTCAGCATCAACGTGCCAGTTGATGCTGACTCCACAGTTGTCGGGGCAGGGCATTGGATCATTGATATGATAGTGCTTGATCTTTGACCACGCCACCGCTTTGACACTCCGGTTTTCAAAGGGCACAAGTAGTGCCTCAGGTGGAAGGAGCATTGCAGGGGCTTTTGTGCTGCACTGGTCCTCTTCTGGAAGATTGTTACATCCACAGGCGCATGTTCTGCATGGCACTACTGAGTCATTGTAGTAAGTTGAGAATGACGCACAACATCTATTTTGCTTCGCCTTTGGACGAGTTATGTTGCATACCACTTGCCAGCTTGCTACTGCCAAAACCATCGCCTACAAAACATTAGAGTAATTAGAGATGTTATTAGAGTCAATGTCCATTAAACTTCTTAGGATGCAAATTTTAGATACAATTAAAAACATTCAGCTTGCTAAGACATTTTAATTTCTAGCTATTACTACCTCCGATTCTTTTTAGTTGCAACAGAGAGGTATTATTTGTGAGACATACAAAATTCTTTTGTTGCAACTAAAAAGAAACGGAGGTATATAACACTTCTTTGATATACACAGTTGTATTGTAATTGAAGTACCTGTAATCCAGTAGGATCCGGAAACTCTGAAGGTTCGACGCGCATAGGAGGTCCACACTTGTAGTCAGGGTTAAGAACACCAGTGAGTTTCCAATTTTGTGGTGGATACAGAGCAGTACGGTTCATATCAGGAGGAATCTTGAACACTTGCAACTGAAAAACTGACTTCGATTCGCTCTCATTCATAGTCTTAGGCAACACAGTGCCATTCCTACAGCAAAATGGCAGTTTCCCAACCTTCTCATCATCCTTCTTTTCGGCGGGCAAGTCAGACATAATAGGCTTCCTCTCACAGTTCATGACTTGGGTGAAGTCCATGTCTTGGTAGTATTGGCCTGCAGGACCGTAGATGCACTGAGCCGGGTCCTTAAGGTGGGTGAAGGCGCCTCGCATTGTGGAGATAAACTCGCCTCTCATCCACTCCCATGTTAGATTCCAGTGGTCTAGACGGCCTAGTGGGTGATCGTTCTCCATTGTTACTTGTGCCAAGTAGTTGTTACCATTGGTTTGTAAGACGTCGTACATTATGTTAAGATCACCGGTTTTCTTTCTTGAGTACTTCAGCTTGTTGTTTACCTTGAATTTCTTGTCCTTTCGACAACACAAGTAAATGTTGCTCTCTGTAGAAGCACATTATAAGACATTATTAGTTTATAACATGAACAAGTACTGAAATTTTTTAAAGCCTTACATCTATTTTTGAAGGAAAGTGTAATCTTTCATATTGTAGACCTTATTGGTGAAATAAATCAAACTTATCATTCTATTGCTCTATGATTTTCTAGCTTATTTTATACATGTAACATTAATTCTTGAGAAAAATATAATAGTATACACTAATAATATAGAAATAAGGATAGCAATATGACTATAAAATTAAGGTAAATAGCTTTAAAATATAAGACAATTATATTTTGATGCATTGAATTATTGATATGTGGGCTAGTATGATTTCCTCTAATATATTTCCAATGTATAGTTGTGCACTTTTACATTGCAATTTTAATGTATAGTTGTACATGATTTCATAAAATGTGACATATATTGCAAAAATTGCATTCTCATTTAATAAAAATGCAACATAATGTAACTTACTTCGTTTAGAAGGAGCAGGGCACTTAAAACCATCATTTTGAAGCTTAACTGTCTTAGGCATTGGTGTTCCAGGAGGCTTAACACCAAATTGAGTACCCTTAAGGCCAACCTTAACCGCGATTTGTGTTAAATCCCCGGCTGTATCAATAGCAGTCTTGAGATCGGCTTGTGGATACCCTCCAATAGTTGTACCATTGTTACCAACTTGGGCCGGAAACTCATCCCCATCCACCAAAACAGCTCCATCAACCGAAACCAAAAGCTCCCTATGTTGAAACCCGATGAAGACCTTCCATGTTTTAAGCTCGGTATTACCCATGTTCACAAGCTGCAATTGGGACTTAAATGCCCATGATTGGGCTGTTGTGTTCTTGACATGGGGGTACTCCTTCTCGCGCCCTAAGAAGTCATAGGAGATGTAGATTCCATCACAACTTTTGACTTCTTTGGGGATCTTTGGAGGTCCGGTGGCTCCTCCTGAGCCACCGGAGTCTCCTCCAAAGGTATTGGACCCTGTTGTAGGGTCACCAAACTCATCGACGTCTTTGTCTTGGGCTCTACATACCTCAACTAATGAACATAACACAATAATAACAATCGCCAAAAATAATGGTATCTTCCATGGTATTTTCGTGGAAGATCTAAGGCTCGTTTTCATCGCCTTATCACCTCCTATGAAGCCTCCTAGGGGGTGTATATAAGATTTTTTTTTCTCTTTTCGTTCTATTATATATTTCTTATTATTTTATTCCTTGACGTCAATGAAATGAGAGAAAAAGAAAATGTAACGGAAAAAGTAAGAGAGAATGGTGTACCGTAGGCCGACACCTCACCGGAAGGACAAATAGGGTTAGAAAATTAGGGGGAGGTGAAAATAGTGAAAATGGGGAGTTCAAAGGAAACCCCCCAAATGAAGGTGATGAATTGGTTTTTCTAGGAAGAAAAGGAGGGATATGACACTTGGGATTCTTGTAATGTCAAATTTTAGTTAAGCCTTTTATGTTCCTCTAGTTTTTAACTAACTTTTCGGAGGGAATTTGGTTATTATTGGTTTATAATTTTTTGGTAAAGAGAAAGAAGGGGATATGATGCTATAAAGTTGAAAATTTGTTAGTTATCATAAAGACCGTTTGATGGTCTCTAAATAGTCCAACTTGTAGTCTTTGTTGTCTTGAAAATATTCCATGCTTTTGTGCAACTTTTCTAATTTTTGAACGTACATTACTCTCCCAATTCATAGTCAAGTAATTTTTCTAAAACTACACTACAAAGAAGTGAAAAAATTTCCATATTATATGAAAACTTTATTGAAGTGTAAGTTTTTACGTTAGAGCCCTAAGATTATCAACAATATGTAATTAAAATTTCTTGAAAAAAGAAAGACAAGGTCAAATTTTGACACGATGTGTACAAAATAATTTAATATGACGTAGTATATACAATCCTATCTATATTATAAAATTATATATTGTTACACTATTCTGTTTGGTTTCTCCACTAGGGATTGCTCCATTTCCTACTATATGAGTAATATGATCTTGTTCATGTACGAATGATACAAGGCCAATTGACCATATTGGTATATTAGTTAACACCCTTATGACATATTGGTATATAAATTATTGCCGGCGACATATTGGTATAAAAATTAACATGTGTCGACATATTGGTAAATAAATTAACAAATTGTGACATTTACCCCTATTTTTTCTTCGGATGAAAGAGCGTGTTGTATACTTCAAAATTTTGTTTTAATTACTTTTGCAATCTTATTTATTATCATAATATACTTATTCAGCACCAAATAATAATTTTTCCCTCTTCCCTTCCAATACAATAACTTTGATGAATCAATCAAACGATAAAACCCCAAAGAACTAATAAACAATAAACAAAATCTCAATATTAGTTATTTAATTTCAAAACCAATTACTAGTAAACGCTAACTTTCATTATTACTTCATTTGTATTATACCCACAATTTTGTAAATCAACAATATAATAAGAAAAAATATATATATGAGTGTTTTTTTTTTTAAAAAAAAAAAAGAAGAAGAAGAAGAATCTACCCTTGTGATGCTTCAATGACCATCGCCCTCAATACATTCAACCTTATATCCTTTGCTCAAGCTTTCCTATTCGTTTCCCCTAGCTTCTTTCTCATCACTTTTGGGCTTTCAACTTTTTTTTTTGGGATTTTTACTTCATAATTTTTTAAATTAA